ATGGCCTTCACATGGAAAATTAAACCTTTTGGAACAGGCCTGCTGTCTTTTTTTGCTTGGACAACAGTTCTTGAAAATAGATAATATGAGGAGGAGGAGACATTATTATTAACTAATGCTACACGTGCAAGAGAGACGAGAAGTTGATGAATCTTCTTCTTCTTCTCTGTCCAGTGGCTCTGGATTGCTTGGATATGTTGGTGAGTTTGTTTGGGGTTCACTGGGTCATGCCTCTTTCCACAATGAGCTTGCTCGAGGCTTGGAGAGGTTGTATGGTGCATCTTGTGGAGGGAGAGAAATAAGTGATCCCTTTGATGGAGAGGAGACCCCTATTTGGGTTCTTAAGTTTTCATTTCTTAGTTCCATTTTTTTTCTTTCTTTTTTTTTTTTTTTTTTTTGGATTTGGGGGAGAAATTGTAAATCAATGGGATTTGGTGGATTGTGTGGATATGCCGAGAGGTTAGGGGCCCTATTTGGCCCTTTTGTATGCACTCCCCGGTTGAGTACTTTACGATACTTAAAAAAAAAAAAAATTGGAAGAAGGCATGCATCAATTGTTTCTAAGCTGATCGACTATGGGCCATGCCTACAACACTAGGACTTCCAAAATTTGATGCCGGGATGCTGTGAACACCTGAAGATTGTTATGCTAGTCAACAAAATGAGCGAATGATAATGAACTCATCTGAGAAGGCTTCAACAAAATGATTGAGGAAATCCATGCAACCACAAAGGCTTCAATTAACTGGGAAATCGTCAACACAATTTCCCAGAGTAATATGAAGAGGCTGATGGGTCAACGAAAGAAAGGTGGCATGCGTTTATCGTTTATCTTGGCGGCTCATCATCATTATCTGTTTTTTTTTCCTCTTTATTTTTTTATTTTTGTTGATAAGTATGATTTCATTAAAGGAGCTCTAGAGGGGAGCGCTCCCAAAGAAATACAAAAGTCGCCCACATTGACGCTATAATTTTAATCTATCCACAAAATCCAAAAGAAGATCCATGGATTTACAATACTGCCCATTGACCCAAAAAAATAAAGAAGGCAGTATATCGTATTTGAGAGACTAGGAGATTTCTCTTGTGCCACAGACCCCACCGTAAACAAAGGGGAGTAGCCCTCCAAGCATCCCTCCAAGCATCTCGGACTCGATTCTCCACCGTACGTCCTTCCAAGTCTCTGACATCTTCACTGTGGATTCTGGAAACACTCAGACCAGACCAAAAGCAACCAAGAACATAGACCAAACATCCCTAGCCATAGGGCAATGAAGCAGAAGATGGTTCACGGATTCTCCCGACTTCTTACACATGCAACTCCAGTTCACCCCAATCTGACATGAGGTTGTCGGGAGTGAGGATACTTCCAATGGCATCAGAACACGTAAAGAAAATCTTACGTGGTCTTCTTGTTGGCTTCGAAGAATATTTTGTTGTTGGTTTGCTGTCGGAGAGGAGGACATTTTCCGTTATCTAATTTTAAATCATTTGGTAATGTTTGCTGTTATTGAGAAGTTACTCTCAACATTGTGTATTAAAAATGGTTTTAAGAACATCTATTAGATGTTCATATAAACAATTTGAACTTTTGAAGAAGTGTATGAGAGGAGACATAGCTAGCCTATAATATGATATAATTGCAAGATGGATCTCCAATCTCTATAAATCTCTGATATTGACCTCTACGGAATGAATTGAGGCATGACGCTTAAGCACTTCCTATATTGCACTCCTGCTTCTGGCTTGTTTCCTATAGTGATTCCTACTTTTTATTATTATTTATTTTATTTTTTAAAAAGTATAATAAATAAATGCAACGAGGTCCCTTTGCATGCTATGTCCCTGTCACCCCCTTGATACCACATGTATTACATCATCCTCCAATTACTGATTCTCTCGATTCAATATCGTTGAAAAAAACTTCAATTCTGTATGGTTCTCGACAATATGGTTTAGGGGAATGTGAGAAAGAACAACATATAATTGACAAATACCAATGCATAAGTTGATTGGGTTGGATCTTCAATAATTTATTGTTGGTACTTTCCACCCAGAAAAGAATGCTGCTTTTAGATGGGGGTTGGATGTCTTCATACTTATGCTATCTTTGTTTTGACGTCCGAGCATTATTTTTCTACTTTATGGTGTTTGGTAACTCTTAAAACTGGTTTAAATATTTTCTTTGTAAAATATTTTAAACATTTGTAACAAAAATGACTAACAGATCCAACTTTGTCTTCATTTTACCGGAGTCGATGGTCTTTTCAATTCAACTCTAAACACAGGAAAAAATTGTAATGAATTTCACAAAATTGAGATGGTAGACACAGCCCTGATGGTGTAGATAGATGACAGAGGAGAGGTAGAAGTCACGAGACATGGAGATGGGCTCGAGGGGGCAAGGACTCTTTGCAGAAGGCGAGGATGGAGCAGAAGGCCATGTGAATCATGTTGAGAGATTTAGGGGTGGACCATTATAGAGCTTGTGGTGTAGGATGTACGATGACGTTGGAGCTCGCGAAGATTCGGATGGCCACAGGTGTAGGAAAGGAGGAGCTTCTTTGTCATGTCATCAATGTCCCTTTACTCATTGTGTGAGGGTGAGCATGGGCAAGTAGATCCTGAAGCACTGGCAAATGGAGGGGACTGGAGGTGGTATAGGGGTGTGTAGGATAAGTATGGAGGGGTGCAGGATTAGAGGTAAAGGACAGGGTCAGTGTTTGTAGAGAGACTTTTGACACTGTCGGAGGTGAGAGTGAGTGAGAGAGACAGGAAGAGGGGGAGGTTGATATGGAATAAGATGGAGTGATGTTGATGTAGACGTAGTAGCTTACTGCCTTCTGTGTTGGGCTTAGGCAACTGTGGGCTCACCAGATGTGGTGATTTAAAACAAAAGTGGCTGACCTTGATTACTTTGGAATTGGTGATTTTGGGTACATTTGATTGGGTAATCATCCATTAATTTTTGGGGATTTATTATTATATTCTTTTGGAAAATATTTTCAGGAATTGAGCCAAACACCGGAAATTAGATAAAGAATTCGTTTTACTTTCGAAAGGTTTTAAATAAAAATGTTCTATGGCAAAAATGTTTTGTGTCGACATAAGTGGATCCTTAGTTTCAAAGGGGCAACTACTCCTGCAATTAACCAAGAGAAGTTGCTGTTCTTCCGTAGCAATAATTTTGTTTCTGGATAGAGTCTATCTCTCCATCTTGGAGGTTTATACTGCACAAACGAATCCGGTAAACAACAACATACAATCCTTCTGTCCCGATGTTTTGGTACCTTTTTCCTTTTTTCTGATGTTCCTTGATAGTTGTCTTTGTCCTATAATTATTTTCTACTCCGAAAAGTCAATTCATTGACTTTTATGACTTTACTAAGTTACCCTCTGTTAGTGAAATGTAAATACATTGTTTCGGGTGGAAGTATGGGTACTTTTGAAAAATTTATGCGCTGAGCGTAATGCAGTAACTGAATTTACCTTCCCTTTGTTAGTGAAATGTAAATACATTTGTTCGGGTGAAAGTAGGGGTACTTTTGAAAAATTGTGCATCGAGAGTGTAATGCAGTAACTGAATTTATCTTAAAAAGTTGGTTTATTTTCCTCCCCCCCCAACCAAAAAAAAACCCCACCCCACCCTGGTCCAAAAAATTGGGCAGATGGAGTTCAGTTCTGCACGTGTGATATGCATATGTATGTATGTATATTATATGTATATACATGCAATTGTTACCTTAAAAGTTGGTTTATTTTCCTTTCCTTTCCCCCCACCCACCCCTCTAATGGCCAAAAATTTGGGACAAATGGAGTTCAGCACTGCGCATGTGATATGCATATATGTATATTATGTGTATATAAATCTTCTAATGGCCAAAAGTTTGGGACAAATGGAGTTCAGCTCTGCGCATGTGATATGCATATGTATGTATATATGTATATTATGTGTATATAAATGCAATTGTTAAAAATAGGATATGGAGATTCAGTGACAACGTGCGTGATGTACATGTAAAGTTTTGTGTCTATAATTATGTGTATCTCTGTGTTCATGTGCATACTTAATTATGATGAATCCTCTTCTCTTTGTTTATTGTCTCCCTTTCTTCACCAACATATTCCGCATTGTAACTGACTGCTTTTCTGAAAAAGGGTCATTCTTTAACTTTCTTTTATAGTCTCACTGGATCTTTTATCACAACCGTGCTCTGTGTTGGTAAATGTCCCCATTATGCAATGCCTGCAGCATGTTGGATTTGTGTCCCACATCATCCTACTAGTTTTGTTACCTTGGATGAGAAGAAATTATGTTCACGTTTTGGATGTGTATTATTTGTCAGTGCATGTTTAAGAGTGCTTAAAGAAGTGTTGAAGTCCACCGCATAGCTCTTTTGTACAAGTCCATGGGTTTATTTCTAAATGGAAGTGTGTCGCTTTCAGCATCTTCACTGATATACAACTTCGTTTCTATATTTTACCTACCATTTGAATCACCTCGCAGTGTGTTTCCTAGGACAATGTTGTCAAGTTTATGCCCACCAGCCATTTTATTTAAAAACACGATGTAACTAATTTGGTATGAAACCATTTTTTTAATTTTCAGATTTTTTAAAAAAAAACTAGGTTATGCTATCAGCTCTCGGTTTTCCAAGTTGTTTATTATGGCAGTTAAACAGACTTAGTATACTGGTTCATCACTGTAATTGCATATTGCGCTTTCTGGTTGTATTACTTCGAAGAAGATTTGATGAAAAATTTGCAAAGATTGCAACTGAAAAGGGTGGGCCTTCCATTGGTCCCAGACATTCTTTTTTGGCTTTCAAGCTTGCATCACTATCTTTTGGTTTAACTTTTTACTTTGCTAAATTTCTTGAGATATGGAATTTATTTATTCTGTGCTTTCATTTTTCTTTGTTGACCTGACTTAATATATGTTAATCATTTACTGGGTTGATAATTGACAGTTATGCTAAAAGTACAATTATGATTCTCAGGATGCAAAGGAGCATCTTTCTGCACTGGCTGACAAGCTTGGTCCGTCCCTGACCGATATAGATGTATGGAAATCCCAATCATGTATTCTAGCACCATAGTAATTGATAATCTTTTAAGAAGGCTATTCAAGATGCTATTGGCCTATAGTTAGTGTTGTGTTTGAGGGTGTGCTGGTGGTGTATTAGTATCTAAGCATTATGTTATTTTATTTTTTTAATACTAATGGTCTTGTTCGGCTTTCAGCTGTCAGCGAAATCACCACAGTCATCCGTTGATGCTGCTGAACAAGGTGATGTATGCCAGGAAAAATGATCTCTTGCAGATTTTGATGTTCAGTTGGTAGCTTTATTTATTTATCTGATGGCTTTGTCTTAGCTTTAAAACTTTGAGTAGGACTTGGTGGTTTTTAGTATATTTGCTATGCTATATTTGTATCTAGAAGCAAAAGCAGCATTTAAAAAAAAATACAGTATGTTACTTCCAATTGTTTACTTTTAAAGGATGATACAGTATATCTGCCGTCAGCACCATGGTTTCTCACTTCTGTGGTTTCTAACTTAATAATTTTGTGGAAGACGCAAAATCTTTAGAGGAACTAGTTCTCTGGTTATATTTATGTTGAGTACTTGATGTTTGGTTTGAAAATAGAATGGGATCAAGTTCCATAGGAGACAATAACAACCATCGAGCCTTTCCCAATTACTTGGGGTCGGCTACATGAATCCCATGTTTCCATTCTGCTCTATTTAAGGCCATTGCCTCAGTCAAGAGTTCCATCTGAGACATCCAATTAAATTTGAATGATACATAGCAGGATTAAAATTAAAGATTCTCTTTAGAAGTTTGTTAACTAATTTCAATTGAGAGGAAATCTCTTACTGGTTTCATATTTCATATATTCACTATAGACATCCTTTCGAAGAATACCTTTAGAAGATTACTACTTGATTGACTACAATAATTTTGTATATCATTATTATGCCGTCAAAACCGAATCTGTGCTAATGTTGAAAAGATTGGACTTCTTTTAAGAAAATATATGTACATGCAGAGGCATTAGGGTTCATGAAATATATTTGATAGTGCATTTACTAATGTGTTGCATATGTGAGCAATAAGGGGGAATGTGCAAAATAATGCTAAGCTGATGAACAACACCCAAAAAGTCCCTGCTCATTTATAACACATTTTTTAGCTTGCCAACGTTCCGTACCTTAAAATAATATTGGTCTAGTAACACTTCTATAAAATTTGGCTTTCAATTTTAGAGTTCAATGTTTATCATATGATATGCTAGAGGCATTCATTCATTTAACCCATCCCGTTTTAGTTTTCTGAGCAATATCATTACCAGTCTTCCTCTATTTGTGAATAAAAATAAGGCATTGGTTGCAAACTGTTTCTTTTTTGGTATCTCTTGACAATTGGTGTTCATCATATCCTCACTGGTATTTCTAGTTTAACTGAAGTTACATTCCTTTATTTTAGCATTAGTTTTATTTATTTTAAGCCTTCTCGATTTTAAAGTTTCACTTCGTACCTCTAATATCATCTACAAATAACATCCATTATGGAACTTCATACTATGCATATTCTGTCAGATCAGCCAGAATTAATGCAAAAGATAAGGGCTTAATGTTAATCCAAAATGTATGCCTAAATGAATTGGAAAATCAATTGTTCTCTTACAATGTTCTTACTATGAACTCTGTTGTTTAACTGAAGAGATAACCATACCTTGATGGAGCAGCAGAAAGGTAAAAAATGTTTTATTTACTTCTAAATAGTTGGGACGGGGCCTTCTTCAGTTGAGGTGCATCACACAAAGTGCAGCTGTTAAATAGAAATAGAGTAATTATAGCAATCCCAATTGGCTGTAGACTGCATGAGCCTAAAATCTTTATTCTGATTCTCTTCACCAAGCTGTTTTAGTAGCAAGAAGCTTATCAGATCACGAGATGTCCCTGCCGTGTATGACTTAAGATTTTTTGCCCATAAATGTATCCTATTGGGCTTCATTGGTCCAAATAGAATATGTTGCCCAAGTATGACTCGGGGGGGGGGGGGGGGGGGGGGGATGGCCAATTTTTCGGATTTGAAAATTCTATTAAACCCTCTAACAATTATGCAATAATCAATATATAGGCATAAGCAATTTATAGCATAAATGTAAAGGAGATAAGGGAAGAGAGATTTGCAAACATTCACACGGCGATTTTAGCGAGGTTCGGAAACTCCTACTCCTCGGCTCAAGATCCCTCTTGAGACTTCTCAATCCACTAGGGCTTCTCCTTACGGGTGGAGAGCAAACCTTTACATGAAGCAACTCCCTGCTTCACCTTGCTAAGAGACAACCTCTCTTAGTCTTCCTTTGGGTCACACCAACCCTTACAAATTGAAGTAACTAGCTTCTTCTTCCTTTGCTAAGAGAACACCTCCTCTTAGGCTTTATAATAGATTTGAATATCAGATTTTCAGTACAAGATAATCTCTCACAGATTTGAAGTACAAAGTTTAAGCTCACTCTAGAGTATATATAAATATATTGAAGCTCAATACACTATGAATGATATGGGATGAGAGAGTATGATATGAATGAAGAACAAAAGCTCTTTGGATGCTAGAAGATGTCTTTTAAGTGTAGCAACTCTCAATCCCGAAGTCTCTTTACTCTATTTATAGAGTTTTGATAAGCCAATTAAAAAATATAGCTGTTGTGCACTCAATTTAAGGCAAAATAGCCGTTCAGATTCGAATCTGCGCAGGTTCGGTCGACCGAAATGAAACACCCTTGTGTTTCGGTCATCCGAAATGACTTAAGGTTGGATATTATCCTCTCAGTATCTCTGTTTCGGTAGACCGAAGTGAAACCCACACTTGTTTCGGTCGACCGAAATGATTTATGGATTTGAACATCACTCTCAGTACTTTTACTTCGGTAGACCGAAGTGAAACCCTTCTCTGTGTCAGTAGACCGAAATGGTTCAGGTTAGCCATAGTTCCTTATTTCGGTAGACCAAAATAGAATGGTCCTGAATTTCGGTAGACCGAAATAGACCTGCTGCCTCATGACTTGTTCTAAGTTAACAGGTGAGACAGTGCACTACAGGACATCTGCACAGACCTTATTTCCATTGAAAATATTTTAGTAAATGTCTTTTACTTTAATTTATATGTCCATTTACTTTAAGTTTACAATGTAAATAAGGAAGTACCCCCCATTTGGATTCAATAAAAAATACTAGAAAATTGAAATCCAACTAAATCAAAATGTAGAAATTCAATTTTAGTACAAATTTGGATTTCCGACAGTTTTGGTAAAAATGAATCCGCATGTAGACCAATGTAGACTTGGTCAAAATTTCTGATAAAATCAGTTTAGGCTAGTTTAAGTATAAGGAGTTGTTACCAGGAAAAATTATTTTGAAATAATCATTATTTCAAAAATCCATTTTTCACACTTAGCCAAAAACATAGTTTTTCATGACGCGCATTTTGGGGTCCTAATGTCCGTTACCAACTCATGGTAATGAAGGCTTCTTATGCCTTAATTGTTGACCAATATGAATAATATGATTGATGTGCATGGTCTTAGCATTTCTAGCATAAGTGATGAGTTCTTTCAAAGCTTATGTAAGCTTGAACTAACTCACTCTTTAGCAATGACTCCATATGTCAATTATATATGAATGAAGTGCATAGTCTATTGCTAATGGATATAGGAGCATATGAATGATGATATGATATACATGGTCCTATAGAGATGAGCTTCAAATGGATTCATAAATACTTTGACATTGAATCCTAAACACTCACCATCCTATCTACCCTTATCTTCAAGCTTTGTCCATGATCTTTAGGCATTGAGGTAGACTTGTTTTCTTCCTTCCTTTGAGTTGCTTTTTTGCTCGTTGTAGTCCAAGCTATCTTTGGATGGACTTTGCATTTGGTTCTTTGCAACTTCATGTCTTCTTTGTATCCATTGCTTGCCTTGATGTGATCTTGAATAATGGAATACTTGGAACGACTTTATGATCTTCATTGAGGTCATCTTTTGAATTTGAATAATCTATAACACTCAATGTAAACATTAGTCCTTAAACACCATTAATGGTTTGTTATCATCAAAACCTTTAGATTGTCCTTGGATGAAATCATTAAGGTCAATAGAATAGATTGAGGGCATCCTTGTTGCAAGCCCTTTTAAAACTTAATAATACCCATTGGATCTTTTTTTCTTCTTTAAGGTAAATGTACCCTTCGGTTTTATTTATATATGTACTTATGTATTTTGTGTTGCTGTACTTCATTTTGTAGGGGACATTTATTGTTGAACCTGGTATCCAAATAACTGCTTTCACCATTATGAGATGAAACTATTAGTCTATCTCGCAATTGTAGTTGATCACCTTTGTCTACTCAAATGTTCTGATTTCGTGTTGGATGGGATTTTCTGCCACTAGATTATGACGAGAAAGCTGAAGACGCAGTTGATTATGAAGATATTGATGAGCAGTATGAGGGACCAGAGTGTCAAGCTGCTACCGAGGAGGACTATTTGTTGCCAAAAAAGGATTATTATTCCACTCAAGTTGCAGTGGCTACTATGGAGCATAATTCTTCTGTTTTTGATGATGAAAATTATGACGATGATGATGAAGAATTTGAGAAAGAACATGAGTTGGTGGATAAAAATGCTGAAGTTGGAACTATTTCTTCATCAGGTTTACTAAGGAATCCATATAAAGTATCTGTTACTTTTTTTTATTAGTTGACAGTATTTCTTTTTGTTGTTTGGTTCATCAGATAATTTTATCAAATCTGTATATTTCTTGTCCTCTTTTTTGATTTTACATCTATACAGTGGCAGTAGGTTTAACCGGCTTAATGATTATTTGTGCGCTCTATTTTAAAACCCAATTACCTAAACTGCATCCTGAGTATATCTGATTTAGGAATTTAGGTACTCAATTGAGGGGGCCTATTTCTTTTCCATAAGTAAAAGAATATGGGGTGAGAAAATTAATAAACGTTAAAAGAACAAAGAGAGGTTAATTGCTACATGTATTGAGTTTGGTCTCAATCAAGTGTCTGCATTCTGTAACATCAACTAGATTTAAATTCTGTCACTGTTTATGAGATTGCTTCATTCTTTTGTAAATACTAGGTGATTTGAACATTAGAATTTTAAACCAGGGTAACTTATTTTCTTTCCCTAATTATTCAACATATAGGACTCACTCAAAATAAGAATTTTGTAATCATGGATTTGATGCCTTGTATATTCATGGTTTACCAATGTCTTTATTTTTATGGTGAGGTCATATCATGACTTGAAAGTATTTGAAATCCCATGTGAAATTTTGGTATCTCTACTTTTAGTTTTTCATAGTTAAATGAATAGACTTGTTTCTCTTCACACTTAAAGCTGAAATATGTTTTACTATAACAAATGGAACAATACGGTGTATGGCGGAGGGCCTCTGTAGGGAATTTTTATTGCATATTTATTTTTTCATGGAGCTTATGGTGATATCTCCTTACTGCTCTTTAAATTTTGTTTTCTAATTCTATTTAGAAAGAGTGGACAACTTCAATTTGCATGGGACATTCAAACACTCCCTCGAGACATATTTCTATGGAACTGCACTCATAACTTAGAAATATTGAAGATCCAGTAACATTTTAGTCAATTTAAGATAGTCAACTGTATTTCATTCTTCAAATTTCAGCAACAATTTGTGCGAAGATCCTTAGATGTTGCCAACTTGTCAACAGTAAATGGTCTATCTTATGCATGTAATGTGTATATGAATATTTTAGCTGAGATTCCTTCACATGTATATATATATTTTCCAGTAAATAAATTCCTTCACATATTCCGAAAGCGTAGTTGTTAGCATGGGTTTTTGGGCTGTTTGAAATGGCTGTTTTAAACTTGTACCAACGGGCTCTTTTTTCATTCACAGTTCAAGGCTTTTTAATGATTTCTTTTGAACCTGTTTGGTGGATTCTGTTTGAATATCTAAAACGGGAAAGAATTTGCATTAGTGCCCAAAAGATCCTGAAGAAAATATAAGTTGAGAATATATTTTTCAGAGATCCCGAATAGTAAAGTAACGAACCTTCGGAGACTATTTATTTATTCATTCAATTATATAAAGGAATTCAAATATTTTCTCCATGGAACAGTTTAAATCCTTCATGGAAGGAAATAGGTGAAGAAGGGGTATTGCTCATGTTACCTCCTAGATTTTTATATATAGTCACGAAAGTTAAGCAAATCTCACTTATTTCAATGCATTGTTATATTTTGAATTCTCTACCTTTTTCTTTATCGTTCTTTGCATAATGTTGAGTCAAATCTTAAATGGAATTAGTCAACTTCTGATAAATCAATATAATTTAGTGTAGGTATAGTCATGTAGCAACAGTGGTTTTAATTACATGTTGTGTTATTAAGAATAATTAATCATGTACCACATTAATTGTCATGTTTTTTTCGGAACTAGAACATTTATAAATCTAATCATGAAACTGGTTTACTAGCTTTCCATTTTAAAATATGGCTTGTTTCTTTTGTTTTCAGGTGAGCCGGGTGATATTCTTACTGAAATTTCTGAAGGGGAAAAGTTTTCCGAGGATGATATACCTATTGGCTCTTTTGAAACTGAAAATTTGGCTGTGGATATGGCAGATTTTCAGGTGGTCTGCATGAACACTTTTTATTTTATATATTTTACTTTGGTTTTACTTGGAGATTGTTTTTGCTCTTAGATTGTTTTTGCTCTTCTTTTTTCCCCGACTCTTGAGGTGCTTCTGCCTTTCATTTATAGTGATTTAAATCTCTGCAAATATGTGAGTACCTTCTATTAGGCTTTTGTTTAATGTTGGTCGTAGTGGAATATCTTAACTACTGTTATGAGGCTGAATCCTGCTGTATTTTTTAGAAAGCATGATATAAAATGACAACTGGAATTGTTTTTGTTCCACAACCCCCCACCCCAATGGCCCAACCCAAAACGAAAGTGTAAGAAAATAAAGAATGAAAACAGAAAAAAAAGGAAGAAAAAATTAAAGAACTGCAAGTATTCTGACTGTTGAAATCTAGGTATTCAGGACAGGTTATATTAGCTATTTGATGGCGTACTAGTTTCAATTAACATGTGGCATGGTTTAGTGATTAGCTTGCAGAACTTATAAGGAATTAGAAATATAATTGTTTTCATCAAGATTATGTCTAGGTGAATGTGAGGAGTATTTACTTGCGTCTCATGAAATGTGCTTCTTCTCTGAATCTTTTCATGGTGCATACCTTTTCTTGGTATAACTCCGAATTTTGGTTTAAATAAAAAAAAAAAAAAAAAAAAAAAAAAAAAAATTCTGATGCATCTGGAGCATTATCGTCTTTATGTTTGTCTTTAATCCTGTATATGTGATGTAATCAGTGCCACATAATATGTTGACCTAACCGTTAATTACGATATATATAATGTATGTATATACGTGGCCAGTGTAGCCAATTTTTCTTGGTTCATGATATCCATTTATTTCCTTGTTTAAGAGAGAGAATCCATGGAGTTGATTTATTTATTTATTTTTTTCTGCAGTCAAGAAAGCTAATTTTTTTTTTTCGTCAGCTCTTTTTGTCCCTGTTACTCTAAGCTGAAAGTCTGGAGTAGAAAATTAACTGCACTGCTATCTCCCTATGTTGTTATAACATATCATCGATGTTATTTTCTCTCATGTTTTGGTAACATTGGACTAATATATATATATATTGATAAGTGTATCATTGGACTAATATCAACTAAAGGATGTGGGGTTCTTTCAGTCTTCCACCAATTTCAAATGCATCATTTTGTGCTGCCTTCAAGTTTACTCTACCGGCCTCATTATTAATTCATTTTCATTTACGCTCTGTGGTTATCTTACATGATTTATCAGGAGGAGCCTCTTGATGATAAAAATTCAACACCACTTCCTGTTCTGTGTATAGAAGACGGGAAGGTCATATTACGGTTTTCTGAAATTTTTGGTATTCATGATCCATCAAAGAAAGGGGAGAAGAAGGACCGTAGGTATTCAATTCCTAGAGGTATGTAGTCGCAATGGCACATGAGGGCCTTTCTTCCTGACTTAGATGTTCCTCCTCTCTAGCAATAAAATGATGAAAGTTCAACTTTGAATTTTATGCATTTTCTGAATTTATGCTCTTTTGTTGAACTTTTCGAGTTGAATTTTTGGAAACCTTATTTATTTATTTTTTTAATTTAAAAAAAATGGAAATCCTTTTTTTGCATTTGCTTAACCTTTTGTTCTGTTGTACGAAAAATCGTTTTCTGTCTAAAGCTTTCCATAGCCCTAAGCACAATTCTGCACTTCTGAATGTTCCGGTAATGTTTTTTTTATTCTTGCAGAGAAATATAAATCCATGGATATTTATGATAATGTTGAAGAGGACGAAGAGGATTTTTTGAAGGGCACTTGCCAAGGTTTTTCTTTTATGAGACAGGCACATGTATCTCAAGATGATATTTCAGCACTAATGGATGGCGAATTAGAATCAGGGAAATTTGGGGTTGTTCCAGGGGCTTCTGCTAATCTACAAGATGATGAGCAAAGAAAAGATTCTTGTCTTAGTGCAGAGCCAATGAGACAGGATATAGCATCAGATGGGTTTGCCGAGTGGAGCTCAGCTTTGTGTCCAAAATTTTACCCTCTTGATCAGCAAGATTGGGAAGACAAAATTATTTGGGACAACTCTCCTGCATTAAGTGACAGTGCTGCCGATGGTTGTGAGATCTCTGGACCTGACTCCGAGGCTTTGGTTAATGCAGAAACAGAATTGGATGGTGGGCTGCAAAATTTTCAGCCAGAGCTCCAGATGGAACCTGATGAGAAAGATCATGGTTTTTTTCTTCATAGATGTCCTGTTCTAGTGGAGCCCTTTGGTTCAAGAACATATTCAGGACTGAAAAATCTTCCATTCTTGGAAAACAGATTTCATCCCCAACTATTGAGGTTGGAGTCGCGGTTGGAAGTGGATCATCCAAATCATTCTGACGTCAGAAAGGATGATGGTACTGAAGAGATCTGCCAAAGTGATGTCATAAGACGTTTTAGCAAACTTACATTGCAAAACAGAGACTTACTGGAAGGATCTTGGTTGGACAAAATAATTTGGGAACCACATCAATCTATTGCAAAGCCAAAGCTAATTCTCGATCTTCAAGATGAACAAATGCTTTTTGAAATTTTAGATAACAAGGACGGTAAAAATCTTCGGCTTCGTGCTGGGGCTATGATCATAACTCGCTCTGTGAAGTCCAGTGGTGGGGATTCTTTGGAGCAGCATGGTCATGGAGGTGCATATGGTGTGCGATTCAATATTTCTAATGACAAATTCTATTCAAACAGGAAAATTTCTCAGCAGCTGAAGTCACATTCTAAAAAACGTGCTGCTCATGGTGTCAAAATCTTGCATTCAATACCTGCAGTTAAGCTGCAGACAATGAAACCGAAGTTAAGCAAGTAAGAATCAGCATTATATCTCATAATAGTTTTTCAACTTGTTGCATTCTTTTTACTTACATTAGTTGGAGGAGATCAATTCAATGTGTTCTTCTACGTATCACATACCTTATCTTGTTTTGTGGTAAATGATCATTTGGAACAACTTCAATTCACATTATCTTGGAGGATATTGTTGACTTTTTGGCCTCCTTGAAGGCTTGAGGCCTTTGTGGTCTTTTGTATTCTTCTTGGGATCCGCTCCCCTTTTGAGCGTTTTTTAATAAAATTTTATTTATCAAAAAAAAAAAAAAAAAAAAAGAAAAAAAAAAGTGCAATGCTATACATGTATTGTGATTGCCTCGTATGAGTGGGAACTTGCTGTCATTAATTATTTTTAGTGTAACTGGACTAGCAATTAGCATTGTAGCATGTGTTCATTGCCCTATTTGTTCATAAGTTAGGTGTTGTAGTTTCTTCTTTTTTCCCCATGTGATTTCGACCATTCAATGTCTTGTAGTTAGGGCTGTAAGTGAACCAAGCCATTCGCCAACAGCTCGAGCCCAGCTTGGTAAAAGCTCGGATCGCGTTTGTTTATTTGATAAATGAACCAAGCTCAAACAAGATTTTCAAGCTCGTTTCATAAACGTGCCAAGCTCAAACAACCCTGAACCAGACTCGTTTGTTCATGAACATGATTGTGAACAAAGCTCGTGAATGAGTTCGTGAACATACACAATTATATATATATTATATACATGAAAGAGAATCTCTCTTTCTCTCTCGGCAAGATGAAAAAGAATGGTTCTATAACGGTGACGAAATCTAAGTTGAAGTTTTGGAGATTGATAGAAGATTGATCTGTAAGGGCATACGACGACATGGTGATTTCCTCCATATATTTTTTGATTGATCTGTAATTTTAGGTCAACGTAATATATATATATATATATATATATATATATATATATATATATGTTGTTATAATTATATTATCTTCTCTGCAAACTCGAAGTGGGGTGGGGGAATCTTCTCTGTAAACAAGCCTCGAGCCGAGCTTGAGCTTACCATTTCTTGTGGAGCCGATCTCAAACGCTGAGGTATGAGCTTGGCTCGAGTTCAAGCCGAGCTCAAACACCCCTGGCCATGAGCCAAGCCGAGCTCGAACAGCCCACTACTCAGCTTGGCTCAGCTCATTTTGCATCCCTACTTGTAGTTGTAGCATGTCATCCACTTTTTTGGACAAGTGAATTGTTAACCCTTCTCAATTATCTAGTAATTTCTCTATATATTCACTTTTATTGCTGGACTCGTATGCTTATTTTATTATTATTTTTGTCATTGAAGAATGCTGGTAAACCTTTATGACCTATGCCAATGCTGTCTCACTCACTGCTTTAGATCTCCTCTATTCAACACTCTTTCTGATGATCAAAACTATATATATATATATATATATATTTATTTATTTATTTTTGATGAATAAGATCGCAACATTCTTCTTTTTACATCTGATTTAATTATTTTCTTAACCTATCTACATGGACTTTGGTGCACTTGTATCTATGTTAAGTGTAGAATTATCGAATTCCATAGGTATGGACAAGGGGACATGGATAACTCTATTCGAAAGTACTCATTTTAATAGAAGGAATATATTAGGAGAGCTTTTATGTACAAATATATAAAAATTCAAGTTATTGGATATACTTATGAGATACATAACCAATCAGAGTTGCCAGTAATAATGCAATAAAACGATTATAGTAAGAGATTTTAATGTACAATTATATACGGGATTCAAATTTTTGGATACACTTGTTAGGTACATGAGCCAACTACATGTGTAAAACACATATCCCGTACCCATGTTGAATGTTGTGTTTTCGATATGGGTACTTCTGCAAATCTAAAGAGTCGATAACATAGTTCTAAATTGTTGGAATATTATTATTATATTTGTGTTATTGTTGGCTCCCTTGTCCCGTGGAAACCCCACTAAATACAGCGAACGAATAACAAATCATGAATCATGACAGAAAAAAACAAACATGCCACACACAAAGAACACAAAGATTTATGTGGTTCGGCACAATTTGTACCTGCATCTACGGTGAAGATCTAACAAAAGATTTCACTATGCGAAAATCAGGAGATTACAAGTTTCAGTCCTCAAACCCTAGCTCTAGCTCTAGCTCTCGTTCGCACTCTCTTTCCTGCGATTGTTAGTGTTCTCTTGTTATTCACTCCAAACCTAAACACCCTTATATACCACGGCCTGGGCCGAAACAAAATTCGGGCCACTGCATCACAGGTATTGTGTTTACTTTAACACATACAAGGCTTATGTATATGTTTAATTATTATTTAAGTAACTATTACTCTAAGCATTGTGGAATAGGGCAATCATCTTTGGATCTTATTGGTAAGGAATCTCATTTGAATACCTCATACATAATAATATTAATTATTTTAATCTCATACATAATAATATTATTATTATTATTATTATTTTTTGGATAAATAATAATTCATTAAAAGCGTTCAAAAGGGAACACATCCCTCAAAAACAGCACAAGGCCAAATAGGGCCTCTAAACCCTCAACAAATCCAAAAACTCTACATGCTCATCCAAGGATTTACAATTTCTTCTTAGAACCCAACAAAAAAGGGTGCTAAGAATGGAGAATTTCAACTACCCAACATGATTTTCCTATCCTTCAAAGGATCTCTTATTTTTTTTCTAGCCGTAAACACCACCAAACGCACAAAGATGTAACCCTCCAAGAGTCATGAGCTTGGCCCCCCTCTATACACCCTCTCGGGCCTCAATCAGGCCCTTGGTAAACCGTGGCATAGCCCAATGAATCCCAAACAAACCCAAAAACAAAAGCTTGCCACTGGACAGTGTAAAAGAAGATGATCAATCGTTTCCTCGGCATATTTGCACATAAAACACCAATTAACCACGATTTGTTTTTTTTTTTTATAACTGTAGGTTGTCCTGAGTGAAGATCTTTCCCAAAACGGATGTCCATGCAAAAAAGCTACTTTGAGAGGCGTTTTGTACCCCAAACGGCCTTCCATGGAAATGACAGTCCTGGGGCATCCACAAAACAACGATAAAATGACCAAACATCAAAGCGCCTAAGTGAAGATGGAACCCAAACGTAGATGTCGGAAGTCTCCTCCACTATCTCCTGGCGATATAACAAATCCAAAAAGTTCATAGCATCCTCAATCTCCCAATCCTGAAACAGCCTCAAGAAACGTACATCCCACACTGTTCATCCACTATCAAGACGATAGCAGTCGACCACCATGGCATGTCTATCAGAAGCAATCCTAAGAAGTCTAAGGAAAGTGCTACCAAGGGAGCGCTTCCTGCACCAGATGTCATCCCAAAAACGTATCCTTTTGCCATTTCTGACACGAAATCTGATGTGCTTGGAGAATTCGTCCCACCCCTTCTAAATGTGTTTCCAAACCGCAACCCCATATGACAATCTCACCTCGGGGGTGTACCATCCTCCTCTCACTTCCCCGTGTCTGCTCACAATCACCTTTCTCTAGAGTCTGTTTCTCTCTATCCCGAATCTCCAAAGCCATTTCCCCAATAAGGCCTTAGTAAAAGGCACTAATCTTTAGATTCCCAAACCACCTTGCCGAATTGGAGTTCAAACTCTCTCCCACTGCACCAGATGATACTTGAACTCCTCCCCCCCTTTACCACCCCACATGAAATTTCTCAACCACCTATCAATCCTTTGAAAAGGGAATCTGGAAAACTGAAAGAAAATACATAAAAAGACTCGACAAAGTGCTCTTCGAAAGAGTGACCCTCCCCCCTTTGGAGATGTATTGTTTCTTCCACCTAGCCAGCCGTTTCTCAAACTTCTCCACCACTGGATCCCAACTGCCCACACTCTTGGATGAAGCCCCAAGAGGTAGACCCAAATAAGAAGTAGGTAACGAACTAGTGTTGCAACCCAAAACAAGAGCCAAAGTAGAGATTGGGAATCTCTCCAACTGGCACTAAGACACTTTTTCCCACATCAACTTTCAAGCTAGAGACGACTTGAAACCAAATCAGAACACATCTCAAATATCTCATATGAGACACATCCGCATAAAAAAAAAAAAAAAAAAACCAAAGTGTTGTCCGCAAACATCAAATGGGAGATCTCCAGCTAACTCACAACATCCCTACCAACCCTAAACCCAAATCAACTGCCCTTGACATCATTTTACTGCTGAAAGCCTCCATCACAACAAGGAAAAGAAAAGGAGATAGCGGGTCCCCTGTCTTAACCCTCTTGAGCTACCAAAAAAGCCTGTCGATGCTCCATTCACAAGGACATAAAACCAAAAATTAGAAATACAAAAATCAATCCATTTCCTCCATCTCTCACCAAACCCCATCCTCTCCAAGAAGTAGACGAGAAAGCTCCAACTAACAGCATCGTAAGCCTTCTCGATATACAATTTGCATAGAACACCTGGAACTCCACAATTGAGTTTGGAATCTACACACTCGCCAGCAATAGGGATTGAATCGAGTATCTAACGGCCTCTTACAAAGGCATTTTGAGAATTCGAGATGACATTATCCAAGACACCCCTCAATCTCGATGCTAGAACCTTGGCAATCAATTTGTAAATGCTTCCCACCAAGCTGATAGGTCTAAAATCCGTTACGTCCGACGCTCCCCCCTTCTTTGGAATAAGAGCAATAAACGTTGCATTCAAACTTTTCTCAAAATATCCCCGTGAGTGAGAAGCAGAGAAAGTGCCCATGACCCTTCACCACCTCCCAACTTTCATGAAGAAATCTCATTGAGAAACCATCCGGCCCAAGGCTTTATCCCGATTGCAACTCTTGAAGGCCCTCAAAACTTCCTCCTTAGAAAAAGGCCTTTCCAGATTGACATCATCCAACTCAAAGATAGAATCAAAAGGCAAACCCCCGAGCAAAGGTCTTAGGTCGCCAAGTATCTGTCTCTGTGAACAAACTTTGAAAGAAAGAGGTAACCCCCGATATCCTCCTCCTTGGAGAGAAGCTCCTCATCCACCGTGATTCTTCCAATATGATTACCCCTTCAGTGAGCATTTCCAACTGATGAAAAAGCTTCGTGTTTCTGTCCCCCTCCTTAAGCCTCAAAGCCCTAGATTTTTGTCTTCTATGAAATTTCCTCTGATAAAGCAATCTCAGAAATATCCGCCTGACATTCAACCCTTCTCTGTAACAAAATCTCAGTAATACTACCTTCCCCTTCCTTTCTTTTAATATCAGCAGTCTCAGCAAAAGCACGATTATTTCTCCATTTCAAATTCCCGAAATCATCATTGTTCCACTTTTTAAGGTCCTCTTTCAAAAGTCATACTATGCGTGCAAGGAAAAAAAAACTTGGGTTGCCAGAAACCACATAGCTCTCCCACCAAGATCGAACTCTCTCCATGAATCCCTCTGTACGAAGACACATGTTTTCAAATCTAAAGGGTGAATTCTTCTGCATTCCACCGCAATCAAGAACCAAGGGAATATGATCTGAAGTCGGGCGTGCCAACGCTACCTGAATAACATTCGAAAACTTCATCTCCCAATCTCCTGTCAAAAGGAATCTATCCAATCTAGGACACTCTCTGCCACTAGACCACGTGAACGAAGCTCCCTCCAAATGAAGGTCAATCAGATTTTGATCATCAATGAATAAGGAGAACTGCTCCATAGCCGCAATTCACCTTCCCCCCATTGATCGTCTAGAAGGAGAACAAATGATATTAAAGTCACCTCCAATACACTAAGGATGAGGCCATCTATGCCTCAGCGAATCAATCTCCTCCCACAGCAAGTTACGTCTGTCATCTTCATTAGGACCGTATACTCCCGAAAAGGTCCAAAGGAAACCATCTTCCTCCAGAGAAAAAAACAAGTCACTGAGAACCTGGAAATCCAACTTAGAAACCCATCTTTTGTCCCACATCACAAGTATTCCACCTGAAGAACCCATAGCATCCAACGAAACCCACTCCACAAATCTTCCGCCCCAAATACTCCTAATAACCATGTCTGAAACCGAAGCTAATTTCGATTCTTGCAGACACACCACATGTGGATCCCACTTCCGGATTGCCAACTTCACCACCCTCCTTTTATCCGGGTCATTGAGACCATGGACATTCCATGAGATAATGCGTAGCTTCATTGGCAAATAGTAGAAATCTCCTTCCCTCTTCCCCTCTCCCTCTCCTCCTTTCATAATTGACACATGATATAAGATTCCTCACGTCCCTCTCCCCTTTCTCTGATGGAGTCCTACCCTTCCCTCCCACCTTTTGACTCATTTCAATGTCATGAAACCTGCACACAACCTGACTCCCTTCCCCCATATCTGACACACCAATAAGGGCGTCCGCTGTTCCCGCAATATCCTTCATCCACTCATGCCTCAACGCTTCAGTGTACTCATCATTCCCACCCCTCCTCAGGTTCAACCATCGCAGGGGGAAAAAGTAAATCATCCACCGCCATGTCACAGCAAGCCCGAGGTTTAAATCCGAACTCCTCTTCCCTAGAAGAAGTCGACATACCATCCCACTCGTCAAATGCAGAAGCAGAAGAAAAACTGCCTTCCCGAGGAGTACCCTAAGTGTCAACGGAAACATCATCTCTGTCAAGTCATCTGCCCAGGCAAAGTGAAGCAGCTCAACCCTTTAAGGGCCTTATGAAGCCGTAGTTCCTTTAATCACAGCAGCAGCGCATAATTGAATCTGAACATTGCAGCCCACATAAGTAGAAACATTCCCAAATCTCTTTACCACTGGGAGAACAGAACCTGTCATCCTTCCTTGACAATCCAGAACACAAAGACCCTTCTGATACCGCCTCGGAGTCCTCCACCAAACCTTCCTCTGACACAGCCTCAAATACAGGAGAGAACCTCCTAGAAACCAAGCCCAAACCTCCCTCCTCCAACCCCAAATTATTCAACATCATCCCACAAGAAGGGGTAGAAGTAGAAGAAACAGCAGAAGAAGAGCTTGGAGCTTCTATGAGAGAGGACTTACACGGATTAGAAACTTTGGGTACCCATTTTTGCTTTTTCTTTCTAGATCAGCGCTTTGGAAGATGATTGAGAGAACTCTGTGGTCCGAGTGAAGATGGGAGACATTCGTTCCTCCAAAGGCTGACTCAGACCATCTGACAGAGGATTAAAGCGGTTGTTGAGGGCCAAATCTTTCTGTCGCGAATGGTTCTGCACTTTCAGACTTGCACGTTTCCATCGATCAGTATCCTTCTGAGACCAAAACCCCTCTTGCAGAGCAACCTCTACAGCATTGATCCTCTGTGAACTCTTTTGAGTCGAACGAAGGCTGTTGGTGGCTCTGAATCCCTTATCGTGAGATGTCGTAGCAGAGTCCAACCCATGGAGCGAAGACATATCATCATATCTCTTCGTCAGGTGTGAATCAAAATCCTTAGAGAGCCAAGATGGGCTGATGACCTGCTTGGCTCGTTTTTAAAGGAAATGAACAGACCCTTACTTGGGCCCAAACTCACCTTTATGGATCGTGATCTCAATTTATTTGCTGGCCCAGAAGACAAATCACACATAAGAGCTCCCCCATTTGATCTAGAGGGCATTGGGCCTTTAAAGGTGTTAGAAGAAAAGGGCCCAAATGATGACTGGGAGCCCACCTTAGAACCACGCAGCTCAGGCCCAAAACCACCCTTATGACAAGCAGTTGGCCCATCTGGTCCATCAAACTCAGATTTAAAATTGGAGTCTCCCTCACGTGTGCAATCACGTGAGGAGACAGCTGCTTCCCACCTACAACGGGAAGAGTCCAGATGGCGGATGCGCGGCGATCTGATCAGGAAGCTTTCCACTTGCTTTTCACGTGCACGAGAGCGTGATCATCCCTGTCCTTCAACCACTGCCTTCACCTGAGCCTCCAATCTGGCCCCTAAACATTGATCACTGTGTCACCTACCCCTTCTCCTCCCCCATCGGTTTAGAAGCGTCTCTTCGAAAGAATGAAACAGACAACGGAACCATCAAGGGATCTATTTCTTCATGCAAAGCAATTTTGAAACCCCTCTGACTATATTCCACGATGATAAATGCCTGAAACTCCTCTCCTTCGTCAATGGTGATCACAATCCTTTCAGTATCACACATCTCAAAAACCTCAACTGCCCTAAGGCCACCACAGAGATCACCGACACTTTGGAAAAGCTTCTAGCACCATAAATGCATAGGAAGTCCGTACATGTTGATCCTTCTGCCATTGAATCTCATCCTCAGACCCGAACAGCCAACACGTGAGCACCAAGGTTCCAGGAACAACTGTGCTTTGCCCCACTTCTTTCCCCCTTTCAAAATCCTTTGGGCTTCGATTTCTGAGGTTAATCTTCTCACCCCACTTGCGATCTTCCAAATCCTCGCATTCCATTCTTCGATCCTTTCAAGACTTTCCAACTCTCTGTCGAACCAACCAACCAAACATGATATCATTATAATCTCATGGATCAACGTGTTGCGAGTATAAACTCTGAAAACGTGACCCTTGGTGATGGAGACACAATCCACCTCTCCGTTGTGATCAAGACGAGGGAGCCTTGCGACATCGAGAAGGGAACGATGCTCACCCATATGGACCAAAAACCTCAAAACAGCATAGAAACCAGAAAAAGAGAAAAAGAAAGAAAGAGAAAGGAAAGGATAACAGAGGATTTCACCGGAATGGATGACTTTGGGTTTTTTTCCTTTACATTATTATTTGTTTTAAATAAATAATTTTATTTTAGTACGTAATTATATGTGCTTGTAAATCTCTCTTAAATAACCTCAGATGTTATAGTATTATTTATTTTAAATCAATAATTTTCTTTTAGGTACTTAATTATTCTGCTTGTGCAGACATTTGAAATTTATTTATGATTACGTATATAAATTTCTGAAATATATTTCTATCCTAATAACTAATACAGTAGCATGAAATATTAATTTATAGATGATAAGATTATTAAACCACTAAATTAAGTTGGTTTCTCAAAGAAAATTACTGAATGTTCGAAATTACTGACTTAATTTTTTGATCTTGTTTATTTGCTAAAACAATAAACAATATAAGGAAGGTTGTGTGTATTTGCATTACCATATCCTTCTATCTGATTAGTGTGATGGCCTTGAAGACTAATTACTAAATGAAAAGGGAAAAAAAAGAGAATTGAGATTGTTAAGTCGAAAAGTTATGCAAAATTGAACCAAAAAAAAAAAAAAGAAAGTCGCAATGAAATCCCTACTTGAGGCAAACAAAACTTTCTAGAAGTTATTGTACATAAGTAGTAGTAGTTGTTCAATTTCTTTCATTAACTTCTTTTTTTCTTCCTTTCTTATGTTTTTTTGGTAGTCATAAAGGTGACGCAGAATTTCACATACTATGTTTTGAACATGATTGATTGAACAAATGGTGAATGTTTGATTGGTTCACTCAATTTGCTATGGCATGTGCTATTTTTTTAATAAATAAAGAATTTCTTTTGTTCTCCGCCCATAACCTATAATTTTGAAAAAAATCCTATCACCATTTTTGTCTGGGATGCATTAACTCTTCCCCTTACAGACACAAGTGTAGACCCAACTATATCTCATCAGAATGGAGCCCTTGAATCTGTCTTTTCTTGTGGCATCTTAACTTATTGTCACATCTGTATATGACTTCCTCATACATGAAAGTAATTACCCATTAGGTTCATGTGAAGATTCTTTCCTGTGTTGCATTTGATTCTCTATTATGTTCATTATATTAGTTTTACTTTTTTAGATGTGCTTCACATGGTCCATATTATCTGTATAACTTAACTATCTTTTGGCAGTAAAGATATGGCAAACTTTCATCGACCAAAAGCTTTATGGTATCCCCATGATAATGAGGTGGCAGTCAAGCAACAAGGGAAGCTACCTACCCAAGGACCGATGAAAATTATAGTGAAGAGCTTGGGGGGCAAAGGAAGTAAGCTTCATGTGGATGCTGAGGAGACCCTTTCTTCTGTCAAAGCAAAAGCCTCAAAAAAGCTAGGTTAGTCATCGTTCTCATGCATGTTTTTTTCTGCTTTGTTCTTTCATAGGGTTTACTTAGTAATTTAAGTAATTTTTATTTTCTTTTTAAGACATTGCCCATTATTCTCTCTCTCTTTAATTTTTTTTTTTTGGTGTGTGTGTGTGGGGAAAAACTGGAGCCTACTTTTTTACTTCTCTCTCTCTTCTTTGCAGATTTTAGACCATCAGAGCCCGTTCGAATATTTTATTCTGGAAAGGAGCTTGAAGACCATAAATCTCTTGCTGTGCAAAATGTTCGACCGAACTCGTTGCTTCATCTTGTTCGCACAAAAATACATTTGCTGCCAAGAGCACAGAAAGTTCCTGGTGAAAACAAGTCTTTACGTCCTCCTGGGGCATTTAAGAAGAGATCTGATCTTTCTGTGAAAGATGGCCATGTCTTCCTCATGGAGTAAGTTTCTTAAAAAATACCTTCCGAAAAAAAAAAAAAAAATGTTTCTTAAAAATCTTATCTTCACTTTTTGGCCCAAATGGGGTTTCTTCAAGTTGTGCATGTAGTTCACTGATCACTTGTTTGTTATTTATTCAGTTTTTACTCTCCTTATTCCCCTTGGTCAGTTTATGCTTTATGGGTTTTATGGAATGGTGAATATGTTGTTTTTGTTAATACTTTGCTTCTATGTGCTGCTGTTTTAACTATGTATCTAATTGGGCCATGGTTATCTAAATTCAGTAGCCCAACTCCATGAGGAGCTCGCTAAAATTACCACATCTAGGAAAAATACCTTGGCGAAGATAACAAGTTGACATGTATGTCTGTGAGTACTTACATGACCCAAAAAGAAAAAAAGTTTTTGACACGTATGTTCTTCAATACTTAGGTAGACCTCTGGTAGACCTCTAGAGGTAGTTGCCACCTTTATAATGTAGCACATTCACGTTGTCGTAATCTCCATATTACATACCCTCAATTGATATATTCCAACTTTGGGCAGAGTCAAGCCCAGAATTCTCGGACAAGACCTCCTCCATATGTCCGTCCACCATTGAGTCATCGACTGTATGCATCCACATTAGGATTTGGTGGCCCTAGATGAGTTTAGACATTTCCCCTAAGGATTATCATCATACCCTTCAGAGACAGTATCATGAGTCATGACCAACCTTGGTATTTTCCTAAATCATTGGGAGACATCACAAAGAAGGTCAAAGTTGACACTCCTAGTTATGATGATAGGGTAGATCATAATGCATTCCTGGACTGGCTAGCTGTAGTGGACCGGTTGCTTGTCATCCGACCCTAAAGTTTAAGCTCTTAGATGGTGTTGCTTACTCTCGCCCTAGTAAGCCTAAGACCCTCCCCATCCCTATTTGACGTGGGACGGACTCCTCTGACATTCTCCGCCACATGTTGGACAGTCAACGTTTGCATTTTGCCAAGATAAAGCTAGTTGATTTTGTGAAAAGATTCAGGTAAGGTGTCCAAAGGAGTTTAGAACACTTAAGTGGCTATTATCTTGTGGCCTGAGATGAAATAACATTTAAAAGAGAAATATTGCGTCACTTACTAGAAGATTTAGTTACTATGAGGAATTTGAGACCGATGTCTTCCATTTTTACTGATTATTTAGCTTGCTTTGTGCTTGAGGAGCTTATGATGAGATGTGATGTAAAAGCACTCTGGGTCACAGTTGCTAAATATATAAATGGGTTGAAACCAGATATTAAGAGACAGTTAACTTGAATTTTCATAATTAGTTGGAAGAAGCCTATCGTAAGGTTTTGTACAGTTTGGGAAATTCTATAGGCTTCCCAATTTTAGGCGACTTCTCAAGTTGGGGAATCCTGGCAAAGGATAAGTCTCTTTTGAGAGATTCCGCGGGTAGGGGTGCACACTGGACCAAATAAAACCATGATTAGGTGCAAACCGTGCAGATTGTTTCAGTGCCGAAGGACTATCAGTTCAGTCCCGGTTCCATGATTCGTTGAATCTTTCAAAACGGTTTGATTCGCAATTTTATGGCCAAACAAATCAATGTGGTCCGAACTGAACACTTAAGGAAAAAAAAGTAGCCTGAATTGAACCATCAATTACAATACATGCACATAAGGTTTCAGTTTGATTGATTGATTGTTTATATTCATCATGGAACTATCTACACATGATCAAACCTGTACATATCTCATTTTCTGAAGTGAAAATCATTCTTATCTGAATTGTTACCTGACCTCACACCCGCAACCCTCTATCAAACCCAAATCTGTCCGCCATTATTTGGGTCAACATTTAGCCTGTGATGTTGTGGCCCGAATTTGGTCCATTTATGACCTGACGACCTGTAGGATGAGCTTTGTGTGGGCCCAAGCCCACCAAACCTCTGGGGGTTCCTGATATATAAGGGTGCTTAGGGTTTGGAGTGGGATTTGATTGAGACACTGAAAATTGCAGAGAAAGAGAGTGAGGGGCTGAAACTTGTAATCTCCTATTTTTTTGCATAGTGAAAACTTTCGCCGGATCTCCACCGTGGATGTAGGTTTTGCCGAACCTCGCTAAATCTTTGTGTTCTTTGTGTGTGGGGTGATTACTTTTCTCTCTTGTTTCTTGATCTATTCTTTCGTTCGCTGCGTTTGTCGTGACATAGCCCATCCCTATTGCGAATTCCTGTAAGCTATTTCTGCTCCGTCATTAAATTACTCCAGCCCTCAGTCTCCTCTCCTCCTTCCCTTACCCTAAGATATATATATATATATATATTGATAACCCATAAACATTTAGCGATACTCAAAACAGCATCTTCAACTCAAAATCGATTTCAGTGCGATGTTATCCAAGTATGTTGGATAAATGAATCAAGGGTTGTGTACAATTCTGAAAAGCCCATTTATTTCTCAAGGAAATCTGAATTCGATCTGCTTGAAGAATTGTTAATAAGTGCTTTCATTTATATGGAAACAACAGAAAATAAGTGTCAAGTTATGCAAGAAAGTTCTACACAATTTCAAAGAAGTATGACTCGAGAGAGTTGAGCATAAGGAGATTTGTGACAAGAATAAGATTCAGTTGAAGAAATTCTTGTTTATCTGAATTATGAAGGTAGAATAGCAGTCCTCCATGACATTGTTTAAGCTTGTTTGTTAAACAAATTCAGCAAAGGTTAATTCATAAAAAAAAGAAATATAATTAAGATCACAGGTCTTCATTTGATGATTTGTGAATATAAATTCTAACAAGGGAGGAGGTAAGGTGTTCTTATTTTATTATTGTAGAGAAATTTAATTTAATTTTGGTGCTCATTGTTTGTGCGTTCGAATGGGTTGAGAAATGACAGAAAATCCTTTTTTCTATACATCTCGAGGAGAATCAATTTCAAGAGAAAATCATGTCCGCCTGAAGTTTTGGGTTTTAGTACAGGACATCTTACTTCATTTCTCATTTTTCAGAATAAGAATTACAACTTTTAAAAACTTTATATATTCTTTTTCTTATTTATAGAGACAATCTCATGTCCTTTTAGGTCACTTATTGGTGAAGTAATTTTAAAAAAGGTCATCCTTTGTGTTTTAGAATTGTGGAGCCTTTAAATGGCTGCTAAGTTGTAAAAGTAAATTGATTAACTAGAATGTGCTTTTGATTCATGTAGCCGACCCCAAGTAATTGAGAAAAAGGCTTGGTTGTTGTTGTTGTAGAATGTGCTTTTGATTAATAGAATTTCAATGAGAGTTTCTTTTTTTTTTTTTGTGGATCCTGGGCACTGCGTGGTCTGTATGGTTTTTGTTGAAAGCTTGAGCTTCATTTTTGTTCTTCAATTTGCTTCTTGTTTGCTTGTGTATTTACTTGTATTTTATGGAAATTTCAGAGCAATATTCATTTTTATCATTATATTTGAAGGTACTGTGAGGAAAGACCATTACTCCTGGGAAACCTTGGGATGGGTGCCAGACTGTGTACCTACTATCAGAAATCAGCCCCAAGTGATCAAACTGGAACCTTGTTGCGCAATGGAAACAACAGTTTGGGAAGTGTCCTCACACTTGATCCTGCTGATAAATCCCCTTTCCTTGGAGATATAAAGGCTGGTTGCACTCAATCATGCCTTGAAACTAACATGTATAGGGCTCCCATTTTTCCTCAGAAAGTTTCATCATCTGACTATCTGTTGGTTCGTTCTGCGAAGGGAAAGCTTTCTATTAGACGCATCGACAGGCTGGACGTTGTTGGACAACAGGTTATAATGAATTCTTCTTTGTAGCAGTCCTTTACCTGAAACCTGCTCTTTTAACTTCTAAAGAATGTTACTTTTGATTTCCTTGTAATTGATGCTATTGTTACTGATAATGATATTTTTTTGGGTGTTTATGTCCTTGCCCTTTTTTTACATTATTAAATCTTGAAAAATAGCATATTGTTGTTTAGAATGCATGCTAGTTCTTTTATTGTACTAATTCCGTGTACATGCCTTAGCAGGGTATGAGGGCTTCTTTCCACGATCATGTGTAGCCATTTGTTGGCTTGTGAATGAAAGACGGCCACTACTGTTATGTGCCCAAAAAGAGTTCTGCATATAGACAGGCACATTTAAAGGATGTTGTAAACATTGATCTGGCTTTTTGAAAAATATTGGTGGAAAAGAAATGAAATAGAATTGTTAGTTGCTCAGATTATTTTATAAATTTCTGAGATACTGCCATTTGGAGTGCCGTTAGATGTTACTTAAATATTGTCTATTATAATTGGATTCAGATCAAAATAGTCCCTGGTTCCAATACGACAAGGCACCTTGTAGGATTCCATGTTAATTAGTTTTTCAACTCCTGCTAACTACTGTTACTGGTAGGCGGTGTAAATTTATAAAAGTTCAGCTAATGTGTGATCGAATTTGTCTCACCGGGTTTTATTTTTTTCTCTGTAGGAGCCTCACATGGAGGTAATGACTCCTGGAACAAAAAGTGTGCAGACATACATTATCAACAGGCTCTTGGTGTACATGTATCGTGGGTTTAATGCAGTTGAAAAGCATGGCTGGCTTCCTCGCATCCGTGCGGATGAGCTGTCTGCACAATTCCCTAACATCTCTGAAGCCTTTCTTCGGAAAAGATTAAAGAATTGTGCCGATTTGCAGGTAGTCCTGCTTTAATATTATTTTTTGGATTGGCAGCACAAACGTTTGCAGAAGCTTTGTTGTTGGGATGTTTTTATTTTCTGTTAACCTGTATGCTTAACATACATATGCAATCCATCAGAAAGGATCAAATGGACAGCTGTTTTGGGTTATGAGGCGCAATTTCCGCATTCCATTGGAGGAGGAATTAAGAAGAATGGTGACACCTGAAAATGTGAGTTCTGCTATATGATGTTTGCATTTCCTTCATGTTAATGAATTAAACATCACTATAGTTGTAAATTGTTGGAAGCTTTACAGTTATCTTATAATTTGGAATCGTTTCTGATAAAAGAATTTTACACTTGAGAAGAAATATCCTATCACGAATGATGAGTTCACTGTGTAACTTGTCAAGTTTGAACATTGTGGTTGTTGGCCCTCCAAAATAAGAAAGATGAGAAACTTTAATAAAGAAAAAGCTTAAATTTTTTCTCATGCCTTACAAGTTTCAAGTTAAATATCAAAAATGGAAATTACCTAGAGGGGAGGTTAGAAAGAGGCTTAATTTTATTTTGCACAAAGTGGCTGCTCTCATACTTGATCTGCATTTGCACGCTTACCGACCCGAGTTATTGTCGTTGCACCTATGCCTTTCATTAGATTGAAATTTAATTGAATTATGATTTTCATTGAAGAGAGAGGCAGGAAATTTGATGAATTTGTGTAATTTTTCCATGAAATGATAAATGAAGCATTTATTTTATGATTTAAATCTTAAAAAATGTGGAAATTTTAAATTATTACTCCCTCCGTCCCATAATAGATGTCCATTATGGGGAGTAGAACTTTTTAAGGGGACATGTAATTATTGCATTGTCCCCTTGAAAATTTACAAAGATACCCTTTCAAGTTTAAATATATATATAATCAATTTTGAATTTTTTTTAAATTTTAAGGGTTTTTTATGGAAAGATGTGAAATATGTTGTTTAAATTTGGTAAGTGGACAAGTATTTTGGGACAACCCAAAAAGGAAAGATGGACAACTATTATGGGACGGAGGGAGTATACTTTTAAAAAAGTAAAAGGAACTTTGACATTATATTTGCAAGAATACAAACCTAAAATTTAATATATGGAATGAAAAAATAAAAACCTAAAATTTAAGGCTCCTCAAAACAATCCCTTGTTTAATTATCTTTAGCTGATTGAAACTTCTCAGGATAGCAAATCCTCTAGCATCGATCCATCACTACAAGTACCTATAATGGTGAGTAAGAAGTGGGGAGGGGTGAGCTTGGAAAGCCCAATACGCAGCAATCTAACCAATCGTCAATAAACACCATAAAACTAGCAAATATTATATTTTCCTTAATTTTTAATAAGTAAGTCAATTTAGTTTGCCAAGTTCAATCATACACATATAAATAATGATATGTACAATTTTTTTTGATAAGTAATGATATGTACAAATTAAACTTCAGTAATTTATTTAACTCTCTCTCAATGTTCACGTTAGGCAAATTAAGTCACCTAATCATCATAAAAATCATTATCCCATCACAAAAATTGAAATCCATGACGGCTTCAAGGAGAATGTCGAGATGCCATAGGAAAACTCTCCCATCAGCCGATCCATGACTAGGCCCACCCACTGCAGGACCTTGTGTAATTTGTGCAGCGGAATAGGTTGTGAATTTTAAATTGAAAAACAGTTTAGAGAGGGATAAATCGATGTCATGTGCTACTTCACTCAAATCGTTGCTTGATGAGACATTTACTAAATTAAAGCAATCACACAGCAGTAAAAATAAGCAAGTATAGTGAGTTAGGAAGACACTGGATTTCAGTGAGGAAAACCAATTGGAAAAACCTAGAGGACTTTCATGCTGTCCCAAGCGAAACAATCCATTATGTGTGAGGCAAAGTACACTGAACTTTGATTCAAGCTCACACCCCTTCACTCTATCAAGACCCAACTTGCTGAACGCTTCCGGCTTTGCGACACCCTGTCCAACATCTCAGGACATCAGGCTTACTCGAACCTTGTAGAAGGATTGCTGGTGGATCAACAACACTCCGCGAATGCTTTGACCCTTTCAAAGTGTGATCATCCTTCAAATCTGAATTCGATGTAGAAGGATAAAAATCTGCTTTCTCTAAACGGTATTGATGAATTCTTTAATAGGTCGTACTCCAATCAGAATAAGGATAACACTCTAAATCACTTGTATATATAATTTGTATGCTGTCAAAGGAAAATAAACACACTGAAAATTCTCACAAAGTTGGCTCTCGAAGTATGCTAAAAATTGTGTGCAAAAAGCCGTGAAAACCCAAGTGAGAAAACATGTTTAAATAGATTTTTGAAAACCTAATTATACTTGAAAAACAAGTCAATTTCGTACATGGTATGAATTGCAAAAATCTAGCCAAAAAGAGGACAAAAACAGACCATTTTAGTCTGCAAGAGCGCAACCGGTTAGTGATTTTTCGTTTGAAAAACAATTTTGAAAACTTAACTGCGCAACCGGTTCCGTGTCACGCAACTGGTTCCGCAGAGGCAGTTAGATAAAACATATTCTTTGAAAATCATCCCAAGTCCCTAGCTCTCAAAACTCACTAGTGTCCTTACACACACACTTGCCTCTCTAAAGTATTTTTCTCATCATCACGGAGTGCATCAATGTGTAAAACGTGATCCATCTTCAATTCCACATCCGATCTTCGACTCTTGAAAATCAAACCGAAAATTACAACTTGATTTGACTTGTTTTGACGCTGAAATTTGCCAATATACAATGTAATATCCCACACCTGCTCTCTGTCTGACGATAGAAGGGCATCCTCTTAAATTCCCCCGCAGGTTGATAGGGGCGTTCAACATATCTGTAATTGAACTTGCTTATCACTAAGTCATGATCCAACTTAGACTAATAATATTAAATTCTGTTGGCTAACCCTTAAGTCATAAACTAATCTGGACACAACTCATCCAGTATCATATCCTATCCATCGAACTCCATATTCCTTGTAACTGGAAGAGTGCACAACCCTCCAGATAGGTGCAAGGGATCGCATAGCTTCTAATACATGTACCTTAGTGGTTGGGGTCATACACAATTTCCCAAGGTTCACTGAAGCAAATGGAAAATGACACAAGTCTTCCTACAACAGTAAGCAAGACCAAAGATACTCCGATCACCGTCGGAGCCTAGATTTCTATAGGGAAATCTGGGAAAAGCCTGAAGAACTGTTTTTACTCTGAAAATAACTCAAAATATATTGATAAAGACTTGAATACAACTGATAAGAGGGCTGTCCCTTTTATAAGGCAAGAATTAATGACACTTACTTTTCCTAGACTGACTTTCAAAATACCCACAAAACATTAATAATGACTTCTACTATTCCCATAACAATTTCAGATTCCCATATTATAATTACTTAGGGCCCGCGCTATGATATTGTTTTTCTGATATTGGTATTCAAATTTGGGTCCATATATTGTTTGGGACGACTGATATTGGTTTGGAATAATTCATAACATATCAGATTTTTTGGCCTAAACTCATATCACCAAATTGGTGATATTGTGTGTTCTGGTATTGTAGTGGAAGAACTAAAGCAAATTTCCAAATTTCCCAAAAGATATTTTCGTTACCAAATATGGTTCCGATTTCTTCCCAAAACACTCCTACAACAAAACGGTTGTTTTGGTATTGACCAAAAACATAACGCCTAAAACACATTGCATGCCAAACGGGCCCTTACTAAATAGACTTTGACTAGATACTTACCAAGGCACCATTGACTGCCATAATCTTGACTAAGGTACCATTAATGATTTCCATCATTCACTCACCTTATACCGCTGATATGAGGTAGCTCTGCTCAATGATAGGTGCACCATAAGTTGTTCGAATGTGCACAAAGTTTGTCCATAAAATAAAGATCATGGTCTTGTCACTCTTGCACAAAGTTTGACCGCATGATCAGTATCCCAGCCTCACACACTGTTCGACCAGTATCATCTTGGTCTCGCACAGTTTTGATTGTGGATCTGCTTTGTTATTTGCTAGTTTATATATCTCTTCAGATCATGTGGTAAATTTTAATTCAAGGATGTGTATGGTAAAGCATAATGTTATATGTGTAAGAGAGTATGTATGATGTGGTTGACTACATGTGGTTCATTATGTTCAAATATTGTGTGGTGTCTGCATATGTGGCACTTCATATCAGCTCATGTGATAACAGCTGTATTGTGTGAAAATTTACTTTTTCTTGGCATAATCAACATGCCTTTTGGTTTACCAATCTCTGGATTTGGGCATTATTTTAAAATCTTGTTGGGCATAGCCTTAGAGGTAGAGAGAAATTTAGATGAATGAAAGCAGGTTAGAGAAAGAAAGAAGTTGACGAGCTAGAAACTCTTTAGGTGAAATTGCATATATGTAAGAACTGAAAGTTACATTGTCTTAACTAGGAAGCCTCAATCAAACCACATGCTATCACATCTTCCATTTATATCTCAACCCACATAAGTTTTAGTCTTCTTTGTCCCCTATTGTTACCCTTAGTTTTGGCTTTTATTACCTTAGCATTACTTTCAAATCTCAGTGTTGACCAAATCACCCTTCGTCGGTGGTCCAGTGCAGTTATTGGTCTTTGTTGCACACGGCCAAATCACTTAATTGATTTTCTCTCATTTTATTTCCAGTGGGTGCTACTTCAACAGCATCAAGTATCTGTTAAATTTCTAATTTTATCCGTTATACACCCTCTTATCATTCTCAGCTCAGTCATGCTCATTTCATGTATACGTTGTTTGTTTAACTGTTCAACATTCTATAACGTATATCATGGCTGTCTCATCCTTTCTTGTCTTGCTTTTCTCATGGTTGGTAATTACAGATATGAATAAAAATTCCATTTTGTTAAAAAGTCATGTAAATCTCTTAGTATCATGTTTTCCTTGTTTTCTGATGCTTTCCACATTCTTATTATTTAATTGTTTTAATTCTAATTTTTATGGCCTAGGTCTGTGCCTATGAAAGCATGCAAGCTGGCCAGTACCGGCTCAAGCGGTTAGGAATTACAAAGCTGACTCATCCCAATGGCCTTTCGTCTGCAATGAATCAGCTTCCAGATGAAGCAATTGCTTTAGCTGCTGCATCACACATTGAAAGGGAACTGCAGATAACTCCATGGAACTTGAGCAGCAATTTTGTTGCTTGTACAAACCAGGTAAAGTAGTTCAATCTGATTAATATGTATTGTTTTGCATGATTATTTGGTGGTTGGGAAAATATTTGTTGGAGAATTGTATGGCAATGTTGTTGAGGGAGTTTTAATACTGCAGAACTCCTTGCTTTGAAAGCAGTCAACGCACTTAGGCTATTGCCAAATTGCCCAAAATCCTGTCAGGAGACTGAAATTCTAGCTTCACTGCTAAATTTGAGCTTTTATTTGAACCTTTAGAAGTTCTGATTCTCTATCAATCTTTTTATTTCAGTTATTGCAATATTCAGGATCATTTATAATGACTCACTTTGTCATTCCCCCATAAACTTGTCGGTCACATTTCTGAAGCATGATGCTAGGACAGTTATATCTTACTTTTCAGTCCATACACTTCTATTCTGAGCTTCGTTTCGTTTTGTTTCTTCAGGATAGAGAAAATATTGAACGTCTGGAAATCACTGGTGTTGGTGATCCATCTGGACGGGGCCTGGGTTTCAGCTATGTCCGTACTGCTCCAAAGGCACCAGTGTCTAATGTGATGACGAAGAAAAAAGCAGCTGTTCCTCGAGGAGGTTCAACTGTAACCGGAACAGATGCTGATCTACGTAGATTGAGCATGGAAGCTGCACGAGAGGTATGTCTGTCTTTCACCATCCATAGAGAGGATAATAAAAACTCGTGTTATAATTAATTTCTATTTCAGTTTGATCAGCCTAATTCCAAATAATCTCTACATAAAAATGTTCTGTAACTTGAATACTTATATAAGCTCTAGAAACTATTTCTTAGGTTCCTTTGGTAGAGAATTGGTTAAAATTTGCAGTATTAATAGCTAAAGGGAAAGCTTCCATTAATTGTTCAGAACCAAGTGTGTGCCAAATGGTCACAGCTTTACAAATGTTCTGGGCAAAGTCTCTGTGTTTTATTATTCTAAAAACTAATTTTCTACATATGCAATCTATTTCTACCAATTATTGTGAACTTCACAATATGTGTCAACAAATGGATTCAAAGGATTGGACAGTGTCTTATTCTTCAAATCAGTGGCTTATATCAGACCACATCAATACCATATTGTTTTGAAGGGAACAATTTACCAAGATACCGTTACTAAATGGCTTCCCTTATCTCTTTTCTAGTTCTCTCTCTACACCACTGTAGCCATTACCTAATCGCAAAATCAAATTTGTCCATCGCTCAAGATACTTAGAGAATTTTTATTTTTATTAGTCAAGATAACTTAGAGAATTTCGACATAGAAGATCCTAGTCCATTTATAAATCCAAATTTCTTGAAATATGAATACTTTTGAGTAGGAAGAGCCAAGATAGGAAGAGTATTAGTGTAGGAAGAGTAGCTTAAAAATATTCTTTTGGGTTGCATTACCAATACAGATTTCCAACTAGAGTCAACCTTCTTTTGAGTTGCCACATGCTTATATAGTAGATGACGGCTGAGATTTCTTGATATATTAATGTCCAATAATCTACTGAAACATTTAATAATTCAACAATAATTAGTTAATAGCTTGGTACAAAAATGATGCTGCCTAGGTCAATCAAATGTCTTCTATAAAATGAGTAGAGAACTATATGTAAATTTGGTCCAGAACTGCCACAAAATTAGGCATGCTAAAATACCGAATAACATAAAAAAATAAATAACAATCAAATCACATCTCAAATATATTTTGCAGAAATTTTTTGGAAGCAAACATTAATTAATAGCGAGATGGTATTCAGGTTGTGTGTTCTTAGGTGTCTATATCTACAGGTACAAATTGTGTCCGCACTGATGGAGAATACCCTTTTTTTTTTTTCTTCTAAGTACAATGGAGAGGACCTTGAGAATCTGATTAGTGGTTGAATCTGTTCTCAATTTATGCTATAATCAAGAAATTAGATGCTAATTTTAGGAATGCTTTAGGTTACGAAATAAAATGATTGAAGTTGGAAATGATAATATAAAAATTGAGAGGCTGAGATTTAGAGTGTGTTGCAGTTTGTGGTACTGAACATTAAATGAGGAGTGTTTGCAATGTTTTTTTTTGAGTTTGGTGACACCGTGATTGTAGTAATGGGTCTGAGCTTGGGGGTTTAGTGAGTGAAGGGTAGGAGCAGCTTGGTGTTTTCGTATTGCGTGAACTCACTGAACTATAGAGGCAAGTCTGAGGTGTACGGTGATTTCTGGTGGTAGGTGCTTGCGATATTAAGGGAACCATAAAAAGGTAATGAGGGGAAAAATAGTAAGTGAAGTGAGGGCAGAGGAGGTGATGCTCACTTCTCCCTGGAGTGCTGTGTTTGAGGATTATGTTGTATAAAAGCTCAAGGTTTGTTGGTGTTCATGGCAGAAATTTGTGCTTGAACTGGAGGGATTGAAAGAGAGGGGCCTCAAATAGTTCAACAGTTCTTGTTTTTGTTGGAGATGGTGTTTGCAAGTTGCAATTAATGGCTTTGCTAGACATGGTGATGGAGTTATGCACAGTTCTCGTTTGTAATTGGGCTATTGGGTCAATAGTAATAGAGAGAATAGGAGGAAAATTGGTATGAAAATGGAATTGGGGGCAACGTTGCAGCATGGTGGTCTAGGGGGTAGCGATAGAGGTGGTTTGTCAGAGAGAGATTAATAAAAATTAAGGGTATAATCATCATTTTGTTCACTTTTTTGGAACATATTTATTGTTTTAATATATATTACACACACACACACACACTTAGGAATGGTGTAGGCTTCTAAAATCATTTTGTAAAACTGACACTGATATCAACATACTTTCTTGCCATTAGTAGATCAAACATAATATAAGGGGATTTTGCTACCCAAAACCCTGAATTAAGACAGGTCTCTGCACAATCACAAGCAAGATGGGATGCACCTGTAATTGTAACATACTTCAAGTAAGGTTGTAGTATTTTAGCTCCTTTTAAAGCTTCTTTGGTAATCTTATCCTCTGTTTAACAAATCCGTCACCTATACTTTAACAGCTGACTTTTGTCCACCCCCTCCCTACAAGATCATAGGTGGATTAAAAGAATCATTCTATTTGCAGATGTTATCCTTGTTTTGCGAAAGACTTGTCCATCTGACTAGTAGTTTTTGACAATATCTTTGTTAGTCCAGAAGGTGGTGTTTGACTAAAATTCTTCATATTTTTAAGCGCTAGTGTGTTCTCATATTCTCAGGTTCTCCTTAAATTCAATGTTCCGGAGGAAGAGATTGCAAAAAAGACTAGGTGGCATCGAATTGCAACGATTCGCAAACTATCGAGTGAGCAAGCTGCAGTTGGGGTCAAGGTTGATCCAACAACAATCAGCAAGTATGCGCGTGGTCAGCGAATGTCCTTTCTGCAGCTTCAGCAGCAGACAAGAGAAAAATGCCAAGAAATTTGGGATCGACAAGTTCAAAGTCTTTCTGCTGTTGATGGTGGTGAAAATGATAGCGATTCAGAAGCAAATAGTGACCTGGATTCCTTTGCTGGGGACCTAGAAAATCTGCTGGATGCAGAAGAATGTGAAGAAGGGGAAGAGAGTAACTATGAAACCAAGCATGACAAAGCAGATGGTGTGAGGGGGTTTAAAATGAGAAGGCACCCATCCCAAGCTCTGGTGGAAGAGGAAATTGAAGATGAGGCAGCTGAAGCAGCTGAATTGTGCAGGATGCTTATGGATGGTAAGAACTTAATTGCTTATCTGGTTTCTTGATATACAATACCGTCATTGGTGGTAAGCTACTGGTTGAAGAGTATTTATAAAAATAAGAAGCTGTCTTTCCACAATTACAGATGATTACACCTTGAATGAGCTTTCTGAATTTTTATCTTCAGTTCAAATCATATATGGAGATATATAATGTATATATATATTCTTTTACCTTTGGTTTTAGCTATATTTGTTATGAATTATGAGTGGTAAACTGAGAATATATAAAATGGAAGGAATGTATGAAAGTAGAGCATATCCTATTGAATGGGTGCAAACATCTCGACCATGATGAAGAATGTGGAACTTTGGTGCTTTTCATGCTCTGGAAGGTGTATGTTAACATCAATTTTAATTACCTCTGTAATATATTGTGAACAAAATATCAGTGCTTATTTGAGAGCTGCCCAGGGTTTGTCTTGTGAACATAATAACAGAAACAAATCTTTCACATATCATGTTATATAGTTGACCTCGATATTACTTTGCAGATGAAGAGGTTGAGAGGAGGAAGAAGAAGAAGACAAGACCTGCAGGGGAGGAAATGGGATTAACTCCAGGCTCGCAGTCAAATTTCTTTGAGAATGGAGAGCAGGTCAAGAAAACTAATACAATTGTCAAGAATACTACTACTATGGCCCCACCTGATGGATCATATACATCAAAAGAGAATATTTTTCGAGACCCAAAGAAGGTAAGGATGAGTTCTCTTAGCTTTGTTTATCTACCGTACTTTTTGCACCTTGTTTTGGATTGACGTGTTTCAATTTGATATAGACGTGACATCAAGCCATGGAGTCGATTTTTCATTCATTGAAAGTAGAATAAGATTGCTATTTTTTGGTGGCAGGAGGAAAGGTTTAGTTCCAAAAAAAACTTCTCTGGAAAGGTAAAACCGATAAAAAAGAATGACACCGCACGCATGGGTTTACTCAACAAGAAAGTTAAAATATTGGGGGATGGAATAAAGGTAAATTTATCTCTCTGAAATGCATGTTATACAATTAATTCATTAGACCTGATCAATCTTGTGTATTCAGCAACTTTACCAGTGATCTCATTTATTTCATTCTTCTGTTGTGTTGCATGTATACAAGTGTAATATATATATTGCACCAGATGCTGAGTTGACTTCTTTTGCTTCTCCTCTGTCAATGTTACAAATTCAGTGTTAATTATGCGGAAGTTCAATTTTTTTTTTTCTAAAATTTCTACGTCTTAGAACCAATTTAATAACTCTATCTGAATCCAGATTATCAAGGAAAAGAAATCTGCAAGAGAGAGTTTTGTTTGTGGAGCTTGTGGTCAGGTGTGTAGCTTAAATGTTGGAACTTTTCCCTTGTTTGATAAAAATGTTAGAAATTTCATTATGATTGTTTAATTTCTGATATATCAGCTTGGCCACATGAGGACCAACAAGAATTGCCCAAAGTATGGAGAAGATCCAGAAACACCAGTTGAAAGCACAGATCCGGATAAGGCATCTATGAGATCTAATGCTTCAGATTCCTTGGCTCAGCCCCAGCAGAAAACTATGACAAAGAAGCTTATAGCAAAAAGTGCAACAAAAATTGCTGTTGTGGAAGCTCCTGAAGATGATAAGTCCAGTTCAAAGGCAAAAATTCTGAAGGTCAAATGTGGTTCCACTGATAAGCTACCTGATAAACACGCTCCTTCTGCCTCACAGAGCTCTGACCGACCAATAACATCGGATGCTGAAATTGGGAACAAGTCTTCCGTTAAAGTTAATAAAATAATATTTTCCAACAAGATGAAGCCCGAAGATGTCCAGGTTGAATCTCACAAGCCGTCTATTGTGATAAGACCACCGATGGAGACAGAAAGAAACCAGCCTCGCAAGAAAATCATAATCAGAAGACCAAAGGAGATCAATCAGGACCAGGTCAGTCAGGAAGGTAGCACTGATCTTGATTACAGGAAGACGAAGAAAATTATAGAATTGTCAGGTTATGAGAAGCATAGAGAGCGGGAGAGCAAACATTTAGTTCTCGAGGGAGCAAAGCAGAAAGTCAGAGAGGGTAAACGATTGTGGGAAGAGGAGGAGAAGAGGAGAATCGCGGAGAGACAGAGAGAAGAGAGAGCCAGAAGGCTTTATGAAGAACAAAAGAGAATAGAAGAAGAACAAGAAAGGTTAGCTGCATTAAGAAAATATGAAGAAGACATAAGAAGAGAGAGGGAGGAAGAAGAACGTCAGAAGGCAAATAAGAAGAAAAAGAAGAAGAAAGTGCCTGAAATAAGAGATGATTATTATGATGACTTGCGGCCAAGAAGAAATGACAGAAGGATGCCAGAAAGAGATCGAAATCTGAAGAGGAGACCAGTAATTGAGTTGGGAAGGTATGGTGCAGAGTATGCTCCACCCACAAAGCGCCGTAGAGGGGGAGAGGTAATTGCTGGTTATTTCAATGTCATATCTCTATTCCCTTTACTTTTCATTCTGGTTTTGGGTGATTTAGATGGACAAATGCTACAAATTGATCACTTGGGACAATTTTCATTCTTTTTCGTTTTTCATCTGATCTTTTGCTAAATAGGGAAGTTTAGTGGAAGGAATACGAAGGAATTGATCATCGTAAAAAATTATAATATACATACCGGTCATGGTTTAGTTTGCCAACTCTTTTTGAAGATATCCTTCGATGAAGTGATTATAAAAGCAGTTATGCATCTTGCTTCTGCAAGAAGCTTAAAAGATCTATTTTAATGTTATAAGATGGCACAGAATCGAAATTAGGTTGTCATAACAGTCACCAAAAAGGTTCCGGACTGCTTTCACCAGTATTATGGATTGCGTTTGAGCAACTTCTATGTTGTAGGGATGATTTTCTCGTCTATACTAATTAACTATGCATTTACTTGTTTAGTGCAGAATAATTTTCCTTTTGTATGATATTAATATTTTAATTAAATTACAGGTTGGTTTGTCTAATGTTTTAGAGACCATTGTGGAGACCCTCAAGGACAGGCATGAGGTGTCCTACCTTTTCTTAAAACCAGTGTCCAAAAAGGAAGCACCTGACTACCTAGACATTATAAAACGCCCTATGGATCTGTCCACAATCAGGGAGAAGGTGAGGAAGATGGAATACAAGAGCCGAGAGGAGTTCCGGCATGATGTGTGGCAAATTACATACAATGCTCACAGGTACAACGATGGGCGCAACCCGGGTATTCCTCCACTAGCAGATCAGCTTTTAGAGCTTTGTGACTACTTGATAAGTGAGAATGATGAGGTATTGGCAGAAGCCGAAGCCGGTATCGAAAGTGGGGAAATTTAGATTGTTAAATTAAGATTTTTTCTATTTCTATTTTTAAAACCCTAGATTGTTGAAACCTTTTTGTTTTTCTTCTCTTGGGGTTTTGATGGATGGGAAATGGCTTTGGTTTTAGCTCGTTGGATGAAATTTTCCATATTTGAGAACATTTAGTTGCATCCCATCTTTCTGTATATATGTACATTCCGGTTAATTTGTAACATATAAGTTCCAAATGTATCAAGTGTTGCCAAATGTACCAAACTACATTAGTAGCTCTATATCTTAGAGCCCACTAGCTCAATTCATGAGCAATTTGACGTCAGCAGATTGAAGGAACATGGTGGATTTGCAATTCCATTACCCTATATTATGCACCAAGTACGGTAGTATTTATTTATTCTAAACTCCCTTCTATAACCCGTGAAAGTAACCATAAGTCAATCATAGTAAAATTTGTGTATTGTTTGTGTATTTGATCCATATTTTCTGTTAACGCAAAAAGAAAACCAAACTGAAAAGAGGAAGGGGTAGACGAAAATACACTGTTCGCTTCAGTTTGAACTTAATGAATAGATTATTTCGTTCAGACACTTTATTAAAGGAAAGTTATATTTTATGTGATTATTAAAGGCCCAAAGATTTAATCAACTAAATAGAATAAGGAAAACAAATGGCATCACGAATAAATTCAATTTTAGTGTTTTAGTTATTTGTGTAGTCAGCTAATATAACATTAATCTGTGAGAAAGCAACTTAGAGAAAACCAAGATGCCCATCACTTGTGTTAGTGTTTAGTATCATGATTTTCTTTTCCCACTCTAGTACGTCTCTTTGCTCGCCTCATGCTCTCAATTATTTGATACAAAACAACAAAAGTTTTAAGAGAGAGAGAGAGAGAACATTATTTTTTATTTTATTTTATTTTATTTTATTTTTTGGGGTGGGGCAAACAAATATTGGGGTATGTAGTTCTTTGAGAGAGATCTTCCAATACATCATTCTTAATATATTAGTATAATATTATACGACATTCATCAATCAGTCAATTTTAGTGTTTTAGTTATTTGTATAGTCAGCTAATATAAACATTATTCTGTCAGAAAGCAACCCAGATGCCCACCACTTGTGTTAAGTGTTTCGTATCATGATTTTCTTTTCCCACTCTAGTTAGTACATGTCTCTTTGCTGGCCTCATGCTCTCAATTATTTGCTGGCCTCAGACTCTCAATTATTTGATACAAAACGACAAAAGTCTTAAAAGAGAGATAGAGAGTACATTATTTTATTTTATTTTTACTTTTTTATTTATTTTATTTCATTTTTTGGGGGTGAGGGCAAACAAAGGCATACAAAGTGTGGGTTGTGTAGTTTCTTTGAGTGAGATCGTTGGCCAAAACATCATTCTTAATATATTGTAATATTAACCGACATGCATCAATCAGTCCATTTTCATATATAAAAAATTAGTCACAAAATTTATTAGTCATGGTTTGGCAGCACAAATTGGTGCTTTAGATTTAGAATTAAAAAAAGTTTTATGTTATGTTTGAAGCACTGACTCCGTGTATTTGATTTGGAATTGGAAGCACTTTAATTCAAATTTTATATTAAAATTATTCTAATCCCAAACTCAAAAAAGTTTATTTTATGTTTGAAGCACTGACTCAGTGCATTTGATTTGGAATTGGAAGCAATTTAATTCAAATTTTATATTAAAATTATTCTAATTCCAAACTCAAAGTGTCGATTCAGTGATGCCAAACATAGAACTAAGTCAAAATCTAAAAAATTAAAAAAAGTTTAGGTCAAAATCTAAGAGGCAGATTGGGATATTGCCAAACATAGCTTTATGTCAACATCTGAGGCAATTTAGAATTGAAAAATCTAAATAAAACAGGTAAAAGCTATATAAAAATTGAGTTCTGGTTCAAAGAAAATGATGCACTAGTCTATTTTCATACATTATTAAAAAGTAAAAGAGAATCAAATGCAGAAGACTTGGAATATAGTAGTAACAGGTCCATTGATTATAAATAGTTGACAAAGATTGACACCATCAGAAAAAGGGTAAAAAAACACATACATTTTCAACACACATCAACATCTTTCCTTCTCCCAACTTTATTTAACACACACACCCCATAGCCAAAAGGGAGAGGAAAATAGTAACAAATACCAACAGACACAAAAGGGAGAGGAAAATAGTAACAAATACCAACAGACACAGACTGAAACATAAACCACACTCTATTACATAACATAGAACATCAAAGGTTGAGACTTGAGAGACCTCAGCTACCAGTGTCTTCTCTCTCTTCTCAATCAACCCCACCATTGGTGCACAGCAACCCCTTCATCTCTCAACCTTCCATACAAAGCCAAACACTCCCAATAAGCCCTCTTCCTCTTATTCCCCTCCCCATCATCTTCCCATTCCCACTGATTCTTGCATTCCAAGAACAACTCATCCACCAAACATATTGTCTTCTCCCTCATCATCTCCTCCACCACATGTGACTCTGCCTTCATCACAACATAGTCCTCCTCCCTCACATTCTTCCTCATCCAATCCGAAATCCCGCCAACCACGGCCTGCTCATCAATGCTCAAAATCCCTTCCTCCAACATCTCTGCATTGTAAACATCAACCTTCAAATTGTAAATCTCGAAATACTGATCCTTCTTCGGATAATTCTCGTAGAACCAATCAACGACACCATTGTTCTCGCCATTCTCGTCCGTAATCAAGATTCGACGCCTGTAACCTTCGAGTGAGTCCCCCAACAAGTTGGGCAAGAACTTGATCTTCTCATAACTCGATTTGGCCAATGCTCGTCCTCGTGGCTGTGGCGGCTCAAACAACACATCCTCTAAACCCTCCAATGCCGCTTTCTTCGTCTCCGGTATGACCCCACAAAGCCGGCGCCTCACCGGAAAGTTGACAGAGTTATCATTCGTGGAACCCATCTTCCTCATTGCCACCATGGTCGAACTGAATCTTCGAATATACACAATCTTATACTTAAATTTTTCTTCGAAAACATTCAATGGATCGTCGCTCAATTGCATCACTACAATGCCTCCAATTTTGAGAACTCGATCGATAAATTTATGAAAGGTTGATGTGATTACCAAATCAAATGACTCATCTGCAATCGAGTTCTGGCGGTCTAGATCAGATACAAGGACCAAATCAACCCCAATGGCATTCAATAACTGCGAGTGTTGATTCAAATCACCAATGCCAGAACTCAAAATGAGGGCCTCATGGCCACTTTTGACAAGGCCTTCGTCAGCCAAATCTCGAAAAATCGAAGGCAACAATTCAGAACCCATCATCATCAATTCAGAATCCATCATCATATCAGACCCAACAACAGATTCATGGGAAGAAATTAATTCAATTGAATTGCCATTCATGACCATTATAGATCTAATGCACAGAAATGCCACAATAACAGTGAACAGAAACAGAGAACGAGAAATCACTCGCAACATTCCCCAATCAGGAAGCCTAATCACCAAAATGGCATTGTGATTCAAACCCATCTCATTGAATTTCAATTTCTTTGGTCTGATTTCATTTTTGGCTCCATACCCGGAAGCCAAATCCATGATATTTCTCAATTGAAAGCGTTCAATTTTGCTTCAATTTGTTTCTATGTAACACTAGAAATGCTTGATTTGCAGATCTGGGTAATACCCAAATGACAAAAACTTGAAAAAACGAGAGTAATTTGAGAGAGAAAAAAGCCAATAGAGGAGAGAGAAATTGACTTAGCGAGTGCAAAACCTTGAAGAGGTGTGATTTCCACCCACGAGAGCTACACGGTTGCTTCTGATTCTACACCAGAGGAGCATCAACTGCCTCACTCTCTCAACTTCCATGCTTGCCTTCTCTAACCTACTCAAAGGATGAATCAATGGCGGTTTCTGAGACTACCCATATTTTGATTCGTAACGGATCATCATCTTTAACCGAACCACCATGAGGGTTAGAGAGAGACGAGAGAGGAGGCGTGTGAAACGAGAAGATAGAGAATGAAAGTGGTTATGTGTGGTGATATATAAGTATAGAGATGAGAGAGAGAGAGAAAGAGGGTGGGGGTTAAAATGATGATGGGTTTAACTAAAGAAAAGTGTGATGAGCTGTGTTTAATGTTAATCCGAATTAATAGGGTGGATTTGCTTTATTAGTTTATTGAGTTTGTTTCTTTGCGTGTGCGAATCGTGGGGTAAAAATGTATAATTTCCATACTATTTTGAATTCAAAATTTTCGTATAGAATTATATATATATAGCATTATCGTATAATTTTTTTTTTTAGCCAAATAAAAGTTTCATTAGTTATCACTTTATGAAATAGTTATTTATGGGAATAGTTTTAAAAAAATAAAAATAAAAATGTCTGATTTTCTCATTGGATGCCATTTAGTAGGGGTGAAAAAAAACAAAAAACTGTTGAACAACGGTATTTGGTTCAGTTTTTAAAATCAATTTCGGTTCGAAAAATATGAAAATGTTTAAAAAACGATTTGGTTTAGATTTGAGGTCCTAAAAAATTAAAGTGAATCAAATTGTTATATTAAGTAATTTATTTATATAGTCTATTATATAATACGAATATTAAAATAATATTATTAACCGTTTAGCAACTCAACTTTATATTATAATATATAATAAATTATATTATATACAATATATATTTAATTATATATATATTCGAACAAAAAATGAAACATATCTAGATGGCAGGGGTGCCACGGTTTTGAAATACTTTGGAAACAAACCGATCCTAATGGTTCCATTAAAATTGGAACCATACCAAACTGTAAAATCAATAAAACAAAACTAAAAAAAAAAAATGGTTAGGTTCTGTTCGATTTTACGGTTTTAGACTTTTTTTATAATTAAACCAATATATATATATAAAAAGTCTAAAACCGTAAAATCGAACAGAACCTAACCATTTTTTTTTTAGTTTTGTTTTATTGATTTTACAGTTTGGTATGGTTCCAATTTTAATGGAACCATTAGGATCGATTTGTTTCCAAACTATTTCAAAACCTTGGCACCCCTGCCATCTAGATATGTTTCATTTTTTGTTCGAAAAGTCAAGCAAATGTATATATGAAAAAGCTAGGCGCAGAATGTGGAAGAGCCAAGTACCAACCCAACTAAAGAAAGAAATAAAAGATAGATGACCCAATACTCATTGGAACCAGCTACAAGCCCATAATTACAATTGGCCAAGGTGCTAGGAAAACCAAAAATCCCATACCAAATAGTTGTTGTAACTGTTATTGGTCACACCAGTATGCACTGAGAGCTCACACAATGAGAGCTCGCTCTCGGACTTGATTCTCGGAGGTGGACGAAGGCACAAGGAAGCTAAGTTCCAATCATGTAGAATTCTTTTGGATTGGCTTGTGTCGATCAAGGAGCTCGACTAACTTTTCAAGAAAATTGATCGGATGATTCTTAAACCAATGTATTCTGAAAGTATCTTTTTCCACGAAAAACCCTACATTCCTTTCAAACCATATAAGTGATAGACCAGAGAGGCAAGAACAGGCTTATAAATGCAGGTAGAGATCGATTTGGATTTTCAGTCTATTGAACACCATTGAATGGGTGATCTCCAGTTAAAAGGGCATATGTAGAAGCCACATTTGTCCTGAAGGAAATGCCATAGAAGCTCGGCAAATTCGGATTTGAAAAAAAGGTTGGAGTGTATTTCAAGCTCATTGAGACAAAGGGATTAGGTTGGCGAGGATTGGAGGAAAGTGGAAGATTTTTTATCAAGCGTGGAGATTCTTTCATAAACTTTCATCCACAAATTTAACCATGTTCGGGAATAACAAATTTGTTCCATACAAGGTGGTACCAAGGAGTTGTGGAAGAGGGTGGAGAGATAGCCTTGTAGGTGTGTTTCATGAAGAAACTTCTATTTGGAGAAGGAATCCAGCTGGGATTGTCATTTAGTGATGGGCTAGGTGTGGAAGGAAGAAAATTTTTTTATTGAAAGTACGCAAATGTTGTGGTATGGACCAAAAATTTCCTGTGATGAGGGCTTGAACCTTCGACTGCTTGGTTGTCGTACAGGTAGACATTTTCATCGAGTAATGCACCACTGGGGAGACATTGATCCTTCTAAAAGAAAATTGAAGATCTTGTGACGGCCCAAATTTCAAAGAACCCGATGCGTCAATGAGTAACTCGAAAACTGACCCAATAACGAATCCCAAATGCGGACGCAATAAGAAAAGAAGAGGTATCTAGAGATGAATATCATCTCTAAGACGCAAAAGTGACTTGCCGAGAAGCCATGAGACTCAAAAGAAACAAATGCGAAAGCTAGGGTTTAAAACGGACAAAGTAATGAATTAGGGGTAAAATAGTCATTTCAAATAGAAATGGATGCTACTTTGCATATCATTGGATAGACAATGAAAAATTAATGAACTTAGATTCAAAAATCATTTGATTTGCAGTAATAACGAAGAATAAATGAATTTTCGAAGTTTTGCAAAAAGTTGACAAAAGTGTGCACATGTGCGATCGATTGCAAGCATCAAAGTAGAGTATTTAAGTACATATTACACGTCCAAAAGAGAATTATGCAAGCTTCAAAATAAGTTATACATTATCAACTCCAAAAGAAACAAAATATCGTGCTAACACTTGCATGTCAAATATACAAAAGTTGTCCAAATGAACACAAGCCAAGTTAGGGATGTTGAGCATCCAAAAATAGTGTTTCCTTGCCTGAAAAACATCAACTAGGGTGAGTAATCGAATTACTCAGTAGGATGATACGTATACGTATACTCTAAAGTTTCGATGGTTTTTGCAAGTGTAATATAAACCAAACACATGTGGATCATACCTCCTCGCGTCTAGTTTTAAAGGGAAGCTAAGGGATCATCCTAAACAAAACTAACTTTGAAACATTTTGAAAGCAATACACAACAAGCAACACAAGTAAACAATATTAGAAACACCAATGCCAACAACAAGTTACAACTACTTAGGATTGTCAATTTGAAATAAAATGCAAAATCAAACAATAGTAATATACTTGCAAGAGCAACTACCACAAAGTGTAGTAGGATAACAAAGTTTACACCACTCCAAGGACTATAATTCAACACACACGTAGACTCTGCTATGATGTAACTCACGCATGTGACTCCATGATGCAATGTGATGATATGCTGGAAATCACATTCGATTAAAATGATTGGTGCACTTCCGCACCTCACTGGCCAAGTGTGATTAGGGATTTTTAGCCCTTGAACTCGATGTCCACTTCTCAAGTTCGGATAGCTTCGATCCTTTAATCATGTCATGCATGTCACGCACACACAACTTATAACAATATGAACCTCATGAACTAAATGATGACCATTATGCTCCTAAGGCCAAAGTGGCACACACACACACACACCATGATTCACTCACAAAAAAAATATATCAACAAGTTCACAATACTAAAACAATGTAGACTACTAAATAGTCATTCAATCATGTTCTTAATTTGTACACACTTAAACTAATATTATGTCATTCACATAAAGGATTTAATCATGCTAGTTTTGTAAACCTTAGACATGCAATTACCTAATTCATACTCTAAGTCTTCAAAACTATAATGGCATTTACAATATCAAGTTTACAATGTGAATACAACTATACTAATACAAGAATGTCAAATTAGGAAATCCATTCATGTTAACATAGTAAACCTCAAATCCCTAATTTAAACAACAACTTAGTATTAATTTCACAACAAAATTATTGGCAAGAATAATTCTAGAACTTCATAGTTACAATAACAAGATAATACTAGAATTTAATTCTCCACTAAATGAAACAACAACTACACAAGAGATAAATCAAATACAAGTCTTGAACAATATAAAACCCTAGGTTAGATATATACAATATTCATCTATATGCAACCCTAGAGTTTATAGAACATGCATACAATGTGTATTAACTTCAAAGAACACAATAAACACTTAAAATATAAACATAAAACAACCACTACCTCACTAGAGAATTGTATCTCTAGAAACCAAGGAAAGTGGAAGCAAAAATGGAATCCAAAGCAAGGTGTGGTGGACAATGGAGTGAGGAAGCTTTTGTCTTCCAAGTGCAAGACCAAAAGATGAGAGGAAAAGGCTTGAAATCAAGCTTTCAAGGCTAGGGTTTCAAGATTTCAATAGAGGCTAGGTGTGGGAGCTGAAGAAGACAAAGTGAAATACTAGAAAATCCACTAAGTAAAATGAGAAGTCAGGCACAAAAACAATACTAACACTACCTCTCTCACACACACACACATCATACTCCTCCACTTGTCACCATCCTAGGCCTCCTTACAAAGCTTAATCTACCCCTTACACTTGTCACCACCATAGACTTCTAGGTGTTTCAACCAAAATTCAACAAATGGATCAAGGAAAGTGTGACAAGTGTCACACTTTTCAAAAATTACAAATAAGTCCCTCTTCTAAATATCTCACAAAAATAATTGCAAAAAAATCCCTAAGACAAAATATCTCAAAAAGTTAATTACGTAAAGCACCCTGAAAAATAAAAATATTTCCGAA